CATGACAGTATTGAGTATTGTGGTCTATGAAAGTGACATAATATTTCGAACCTGCCAATGTTTCGTGTTCGAATGGTCCACAAACATCGCTGAATTATTTCTAGTGGTTCCGTTGTCTATAATACATCATATCGGTTGAATGGTTGTCTCGTCAATTTTCCTTTTATGCAGGTCAGTGCTAGCCCAAGAGCCCACGACTGCCAGACATACGTCATTTTAGTAAACGTGAAAGTTCTTGTATGTGTGTCCCCAACACAGGTAAGAACGATCCCCAAACATGAAACCTGGATCGTGGTTCCTTTGGCAGGTACCAGGTAACAAAGGTGTAAAAAAAATCATATCAAATTCGTTATTTTAAGAAACTCCATATTTTCATATATTGTTCGTAGCATTATTATAACTTGCGCTGCTCATTGCCAGATACTTAGTGTGGTTCCAACCCCCCGCCGGACCCCCCTAAACTATATTATTTTATAAATAAACTTACGTCATTTTAATAAAGCTGAACTTTATATATATTATTGAGAGAACTATTAAACTGAGTTTCCTAAATTGCCAGACAGTTTTCTTGGTTCCTTATCCTACCAGACTCATTGAAACCGTATATTGGGTAACAATGGTGTATACAATTTCATATCAAATTCGTTATTTTAAGATGCTCCATTTTATCACATATTGCTCGTAACAGTATTATAACTTGCTCTGCTCGTTGCCAAACCCTTAGTGTGGTTCCAACCCCCCGCCGGACCCCCCTAAACTATACTATTTTATAAATAAACTTACGTCATTTTAATAAAGCTGAACTTTATATATATTATTGAACGAACTTTTAAACTGAGTTTCCTGAATTGCCAGACAGTTTTCTTGGTTCCTTATCCTACCAGACTCATTGAAACCGTATATTGGGTAACAACGGTGTATACAATTTCATATCAAATTCGTTATTTTAATGAAAAGTTTAGTGAAAATACATGGTGCCTGGACAGCGGCTGTTCATCTCATATTTGCAACAATAAATCATTCTTAATAACTAAATTGACCCCAGATAGCGGCGCATTAAGATTAGCATCAAGTAAGCACAGCAGTGGAATTCAAGGTAAAGGTAAAGGTATATAATAGTAACCGTAAATTCAAATAATCAAGGTTACAATTTGAATAATACATTGTATGTTCCGGATGTATCAATAAACCTATTGTCAGTAAGTAACATAACTGACAGGGGAAATAAAGTCATTTTTGAAAAAGACAAAGCCTACTGTCTCAATATCTTTGTTAACTGATTCAAATTAGCTTTCATTTTCATTTGAGTCTATGTTCTCTTCATTGATTATGGTTTGTTTTTTATCTCTCTCCTCTAATTTCTCAATATTATTAAAGAGCAGATCTACATAATCAGTTGTACTTGATTTATTTGAATTAAAGTTTTCTTTATAGAAAAATTTATCAACAAATTTCACATCTTTTGAAATCATAGTTTTACCTTTTGTAGGTATCCAAATTTTTAAAGGTTTTGATCGTTCAGAATATCCTGCAAACATGCCTGGAATCGCTTTTGTCTCAAATTTGTTTCTGTTCTGTTTATTTTTGAGAAGCATGTACGCATTTATTCCGAATACATTAAAATGATTTAAAGAAGGTTTACTTCTGACCCATTTTTCAAACGGTGAAGTTGTCAATACTTTTATTTATACTTCTATTCAAAATGTAGTTAGCTGTACATATAGCTTCACCCCTTAGATAAATTGGTGCTCCAGATTCTATCATTAAACATCTAGCTTTTTCTAAAAGTGTTCTATTCTTTCTCTGAACTATACCATTTTGGTGAGGAGTGTATGGAGCTGTTAATCGTCTTGTTATACCATTTTTCTTTAAAAACATTTCAAATTCATTATTACAGTACTCTATGCCATTATCTGACTGAAGACATTTTATTTTATTGCCAGTATAATTTTCTATCTCAGATTTATATTCCATAAATTTATCTAATACTTCACTTTTCTTTTTGATACAATATACACGACTATACCGAGTAAGATCGTCGATGAAAGTAACCAAGTATTTGTTACCTGCATAAGTTTCAGACTTCATCGGTCCACAAACGTCAGTATGTATGATTTCTAATCGTTGTATAGTACGAGGAACAGTATTAGCTTTAGTTGGTAGTCTTTTTATTTTGGCTTGAATACAAATTTCACAATCTCCAAGTTTCTCGTTTAAATTAAATTCTAAACCTTTTACGCTTTTATTTCTTAAAGCACTTCATGTCATTTTCATAAGTTTCCTGTGCCAGCGATGAATTTTGCTTTGATCTGTGTAATAACATGTTTGAGATTTATTTAGTTTGGCATCAACATAGTATAAACCATCGGCTTTTCTATGTGCTTTCAAAATCACACCTTCATCTTTGTGAGTAACTACTGCCTTATTTTTGGTAAAGAGTACAGTACACCCATTTTCGGTAATCCTGCCAACAGATAGCAGATTCAGTGACAAATCTGGTACATATAATGTGTCACATAGTTTATTTCTCCCTTCTTTCCAGGTTCATTTAACTGTAAACATACTATACCTTGTCCTTTTATTTCAGCAGCACTATCGTTAGATGCTAATTTTAATGTTTTGCAAGTGTCTTCTAAATTTTGAAAAATATTTCTTTCATAAGACATATGTGAAGTGCACCCGCTATCTATGATCCATTCTTTATTGTTTTCTTCCTTAGATACATATAGAAAAATCGCAATATTATTTTTATTTACGTCTTTGCTATCATGACTTGATATTATATTCGTCTTATTTTTGTAGTATGTTGACTTCTTTCTACAGTTTTTAGTATTATGTCCTTTTTTCTTACATATCTTGCAGAAAGCATAATAAACTTCTTCATTACTTGTGCTTGCATCTGCAGAGGATAAATGTTTTCTCGCTTCCGACTCTTCAATAATTTTGATCTTAAGATCTTTTGGTTTAGGTAACGTGTCTCTCGACTCTATCGCTACTCTAAAATTTTCATAGTCTGATGGCAAGTTGTATAGCATCATAACTGAAAGTAGATCGTTATGAATATTTATATCCATTTGATTTAACTTTTCAACTATATCCATAAACTTGTTTAAATGTTCACGTATATTATCGCCAATTTGTAATCTACTCAGAATTAGTTGTTTTAATAGACTAGCTTTTCTTGCCGGACCTTTACTCGAATATACATCACTGAGCTTTTGCCACATTTCATGTGCAGTTTCACATTTTTTTATTAGTTTTATTTCTGATGCAGACATCAATAAAATGAGTTCCGATTGCGCTAGCAAGTCTTCTTCTTTAACTTTAGAATCCTCATATTCTATGTCTGAAGTTATTACGTATTTCCATAGCTTTTGTTTTGTTAAAAAAAAAAACTATACAAGACTCGATTATGAGTGATCCTATTCTGGGAATGCCTGAAGACAACATGGCACCAGAGTGTAACTTTGTACAATATTACAAAATCGAAATATCTGGAAGAGACGAATGGCAAAATAACCATACACCGTCTCACTCAGAGCATGACCTAGTCTGGTTTACAGAAGGGTCCAAAATAGGAGATGATGTAGGATGTGGAATATGTGGTGTAAAACCCAAAATCTGCAACTATATAGGCTTAGGAAAATACGCCTCAATCCTTACGCCTTAATTAGATGTCTGGAAGTAATCCTAAGCCTCAACTACATCAATCAGAACATATACATTTATTCGGACAGTCAAGCTGCTCTACTAGCATTTAACTCGTACGAAATCCGTTCTAAACTTATTAGAAACTGTATCCTGCTACTAAATGAAGTAGGAAGCAGAAATAATATTATACTGAGATGGGTCCCCGGGCATTCAAATATTGAAGGCAATGAGAATGCCGACCATCTGGCACAGTTAGGGGCAAAAACCGTCCAACTGGGCCCCGAACCCTTCTGTGGTGTGCCTCGTTGCCTAAAACTGGGACATCCCAAATTAATAACCAAACGAGAAGCACTGAATCACTGGCAAGAAATGCCAGGATTAATACATTCAAAAGACCTAATATCGGGCTTCTCGACCAAATACTCCAATAGATTACTGCTATTGAGTAAAAACAACATATGCATGATGACTAGGGCCCTACAGGACACTGCAAATTGAACAAGCATATGGCTAAGCTAGGCCTATGCACGACAAGTATCTGCAGATTCTGCCAAACTGAAGAGGAAACGCCGCTTCACATCCTATGTGGTTGTAGCCCACTCATGCATAAACGATCGCTCCTAAGAATATCCTTCAATTCTTGTCCCTGACGGGTCTAGGTAGCGAACTCTGAAAAGGGCGAGCACAATAGATCTATGTAGGTCGCAGTGCTACTACTACTAATAGAATAAAGTGCTACTACTAATAGCCCAAAAAACCCAATAAAAAAAAAATAGCTTTTGTTTAACAAGGACTGCTTTGGCTTGTAAGGCCCAAGTGTCATAGTTATCTTTATTTAATTGTTCTATTTTTCCATAGGAGGCCATTTTATATCGTTATTATTTGCTCTGCTACCATTTTAAAGTTGAGAACAAGAAGCAATATTAATTATTAAATACGTATAATAAGCAGAATAAAAAGATTACAATCAACAAGATGCTAAGCAACGACATCGTCATCGATACACAGACAATTAGGTTGTATATCTACAACTAGGAGAATGAACTCCTAACATGAATACTATTTTCTTTACTTATATCTTTAAAATGCCTAGATTAGATTATAGAATTTACGTTAGTTTTATGAATCCTCCGGATAATAATTACCCGGGGGTTGTTGCTCCCGGAGTCGGGTGACGGGGCAAAGGGACTCCTCCGATGCCCTCACCTTCTCAGCTCCTAGGGGGTGCTGAGTACTAGTTACAATCATGCACCCTATAATGGTTGTAGTTGTGATGTCGTTACCATAAGTTTAGAAATTTGGTAGTAATTCATTTATTTTTCGTGGCCTTTTCAGTAGGTTTGACAAATTTTTGTGGCAACACTGGTTCCTTTTTCTTTCCAAAGCCGTAAAACATAATAAATAATAAAAAAAATATCTTTCTGTCTTTTTCGTTTTTGTCCCGGTTAGTGATATATTTTAATCTAATTTAATTCTTTATATTTCTGCACTATTTCAGGAAATAATGATAGATATGAAAGTACAATTGATATATTATTTGCACAACATTATATTTTTAAATAAATTTGTTTTTAGGTGAGTTTGTGATTTTACAAACATGGGGAAGGGAAATAATATGATACCTAATGGTCATTTCCACAAGGATTGGCAAAGATTCGTAAAAACGTGGTTTAACCAGCCTGCCCGCCGACACCGTAGAAAACAGAATCGTATCAAGAAAGCTAAGGCTGTTGCTCCTCGTCCTGCCGCTGGACCACTTCGGCCAGTCGTTCGTTGCCCTACTGTACGGTATCATACGAAAGTTCGTGCTGGACGTGGATTTACTCTCCGAGAAATAAGGGTAATGTACAAAACAAACTTGTGATTTATTATTAGTTATATTGTTTAATATGTGCTTATAATTGCCTTCATTATTTCAGGCAGCCGGGCTTAGTGCTGCATTTGCTAGAACTATTGGCATTGCTGTGGATCCACGCAGACGCAATAAGTCTGTAGAGTCTTTACAAACAAATGTTCAGCGGTTGAAAGAGTATCGCGCACGTCTCATTCTCTTCCCCAAGGGCAAAAAGGTACAACAAATTTTTTTTGTAACAATTTGGTTTAGTGTCTTTGTATTGTGTTTACATATAATTTATACCTTAAAAACACCATTTCGAACTGTAATTAGAGAAAAGTTTATTTTTTATTTTTTAACTGTCTTATACTTTTGTAAAATAAATTTTATTATAAACATTCAAAATAAAATATATAGATAGAAATTGGACAAATGCACAAGTACAAAGGTTTATCCCTGTTTCTGTGACATGTATTTGTATTATGTTTACTGTTAACACTTAAATTATTAACCTGGCTAGTGCCATTACAGAAATCTATATTACATGAAAGTAATATGCATAACGTAAAAATATTTTTATTTATTGTTGTGCTTAAAATGAATTTTATATTATTCTAAAAGAAGATAACTTATAAAATTAGCCACCACTAAACCTTTTCTCTCTTTGTAGATGTGAGTTATTTATCTACATCAGCTAACAAATTACAAAAATTACATATATATTACTTTAGGATGAAAAATTATTTATACCAAAATATCGTCAACCTCAAGTAATAATTGAATGTAAATATTTTTTTAGACCCTACACTCCCTATCTATATAGATCATAGATGAAACAGTTAATCTTTGTAAGAAGAATTTACTTCAATATAAATAAGTATTCTTTTGAAAAATCTTCTAGTGATTATCATCACTTCAGATATGTGTTCTGGGCATACAGCCTAATAAGTATATATATATAAATTTTTCTTAAAACTAAACACTAAATGGAAATAGTAACACATTTATATGAATCTTGAGGTTTTGAAATTCCTTTTATGTCAAAACTTTTTAACGGTATTTATTTGCCTTCATTTTAAAAGTATGAAATATTTAAAGTGAAAATTATGAGAATTCATTAAAATTATGAAATGGGCTAAAGTTGTATAGGGATGTATGAAAAAAGATCACTTGTGTATTAAATACAAATTTTAATAACCTAATCTTAATAGATATTTGTATTGTATGTATGTTATAATTACATATTATTCAATTCATATTTATATTATTTTATTACTAAATAAGTTATTTCCCAAACTTTTTGTGTTTATTTATTTTCTTATTTATATTTCTATTATTACTTTTAGGAAATACAAATCAAAACATTCAATATTAATATATTTCGTTTAATCAAAATATTAGTCTATGGATGGGTAACTCACCTATTTGTTTACCTTTTCAGTAAGTTCTAATGTAGTATAGAATATACATAAAGTATTAAGGTACATACCTAATCCATCATTTAAAAGTAAATAAACATTATTACAGTAATATGATTATTTGTTCTATAGGTATTGAAGGGTGAAGCAAATGAGGAGGAACGCAAATTGGCTACACAACTTCGTGGTCCATTGATGCCTGTACAGCAGGCTGCTCCTAAATCCATTGCACGTGCTATAACTGATGAAGAAAAAGATTTCAAAGCTTACCAATACCTTAGAGGGGTATGTATGATTCTGAATAACATACTTGTATTATTATTGTTAGTTGATTAACTAATAACTGGTTAATGTCATGGTTTAGTACACTGCATCTTACAATATTTGTAGCAGAATTCCAATGTTTAAAATTCTAACGTCAATGGGATAACCTGTACCTGTACCTCAGCACTGTAGTATTATGTATCTTACTTAATGCACACTGCCTTACACTAAAACTAATACAAAGTTAAACTGACACAAAAGCAAATAAAATGGTTCTGTGTTGATTGAGAACACTGTTAGTTGTTTTTATAATTCTAAGTATAAGCACATAATATCAATACAAACAATGTTGGTCTTGGAATAATGGCTGTGTAACAGCTTTGAACAGGATAGGGAATATAAGTAATAAATGAATCTATTATAGTCATTGTTGCATTGTCTAATACAGACATTACCAAACATTTTATGTGTCATAGACCTTGCCATATTTTGCAGTTTTGGGTAGACCCCCCATTATTACCTGGTATAATTTTTTGGTAAATTACTGTAGTAAAGTTTAGTGTTAAAACAAAGTAAAAACAAGATGATCGCTGACATAGACCCCTTGCAGTTTGTCACAGACAGGTCGATATAGACCACTTTGGGAATCACTGGTCTAGTACATATCTTGTTTAGGGATACTGTCTTCATAAGCAAATTGCAAATATAAGGTAGCTTTCATCAGCTACCCTCACATACGTAGTAGAAAACAGAAAAGTACATAGATTTTTTTTAGTACTGAAATCTATTCATAAACTAAATATAAATTTGTACTTGGAACTGTATGTGAATGAATATGTTTTAATAATTTGTTCATAATTTTAAAGCCAATTTATGTTTTTTCAGGCTCGCTCAATTGCAAAACTTGTTGGTATCCGAGCCAAGAGATTGAAGGATGCTGCAGAAAATCCGGACGATGTCACTAAGGCTCCTACTGCTGTAAAAGAGGCAAAACCTAAAAAGTGATTGTAATAAACTAATGTAAACAGTAAAACTAGTTTATTTTTGTTTTGTTCTATTATTTACCAATAGATCCGATATTTCTTCATTTAAACATACTCTGAAAGGTTAATAAAAGCAAAAACAGTAGCGCATTCAACATTTTGTACAAGGCCGTCTATCGCGCCCTGAACCTCGTCTTGCTTCGTCTTCACACATGGTCGATTCATTACAAAAAATAAGGTTTCATGAGTATTCTACATGTTTTATAGGTTAGTATACATTTTATGATTAACCCCATATACAGAAAGGCTTCCCATTAGGAGAATGAAGTTCATAAGGTACAGTGTATGAGATAGGCAAATTTAAACCTATAAAAGTATTTTTTTTTCTAATATTTCAAAGCAACTGATTTGTCTTTTCGAAACAAATGGAAAATGACTTATGAAGCTGAGTTTGGCTGTGTTCAACTACATTTTTACTACGATGGTGCCACCTACGAGTAAAATTATCTATGGAAACAGCTGCTGGTAAATATGCTGCGTAAAAAATAACTCGATTCATCGTAATGTCTGTATTCACACTGAATAAAAATTCAAATAAGAGACGAGTTTATTAGTATTCCATAGATACACCGTGTGAGAGTCGGGTCCATCGAGAAAAGAACTCCGAGCAGTTCCCGGGACTGGGTATAGGTTTAATAGATCCTTGATGATGTACAATACTCTTTTGCCACTCCTTTTCTGCCCAACCAAAACGGTAGTAGCCTACTTGTGCAGGTTTAGTTCCATTAGAGAATTTACTGCAGTTGTATACAGATCAAGATATCTTAGAAAATTGTAGATTTCGCTATTATACCTCTCGCTCCCGATTCGTATATAAATTAACCACACAGGTATTTTTAGTTTAATCGTAATATTTATTTGCCTTTGTTATGTGCATGGTCTTTGGGTATATTTGTTTCACAAGGTACAGTGAGTTCTACCAGTACTACAGCACCTACGTTTAGTTATTTTCGAGAATTGGAAAATATTCGGATTGGATGATAAAACAGATGCAATAACTGTGTAGGTATGTTGGTTAGGTGTTTATTTTTGGAATTTAGAGTTGTCTTTTATAAAGTTAAATTGTCTCTAGTTTGTCAATTCTTTTTGGGCTTTAGCTACTGAGACAGCTTCGTAAGCATTATTACTGTATTGGTAGGCGTTGCCTAACTGCAAATTCAGTAAGATTTTTCAGAGACTCCCTATCTTACTTTGTTCATTTAAAGGAAGGCGTTAAAGTTAGAATTTCCATAATGTGCAAGAGGCCAATGATATATCATGGTACTCTAGGGCTAATGGAATGCAGAACTTACCTATGGTTAGCCATTCTTGTTGCATTTTTAATTCCTTGCGTGTAGGTTTCTTCAATTTAAATTTAAGACTTACGATCTCAAATAGAGTTGAGGGGCTAGCCTAATGCCCCAGTCCAAACCATAACTTCAATGACTTTATGACATTTGCATCTAACTTAGCAAAAAAGGGCTTTACTGAGTTCGTCAACAAGGAAAGGTAAAGATGTCGTAGATCCATGCTTTTTCATCTACTTGCATTTGATAGTTTCTGACTTTGTTTGGGAATGTTGTCAGTATAACAAGGTCATTTCCAAAGTTAAAATGGACTCTGCAAGTATTTTTTATTTTAAACTGAGGACCCCATATATTTCTTGACGGAATAATTTGTCTATGAGGATATTTATAACTACTTTTATTACTATTAGTGATAAACAACCTTGGAATATCTCCACATTGTATTCTATGTAAAATACTTCCTTGTTTACTGCTATGGCAAATTTTAATTGTAAATGTAACGTGTGAATGTTATACCATCTAAAGAAGATCATCAATTGTTGCTGCCTTTCTTATTTTAATTTGTGTCTATTAAAATAAGAAAGGTAAATTTCTGTTAAGAATGGAATCATCTATACTTAATACTAAATTCACCACATTTCCTTCAGAAGAGTGGAAGAAGCTGGGTAACTTTTACTGTTCTGAAGGAAATACGCTACAATATATACAATAATTAGGTACACAATGACTCGGGATAATATTAGCATGTAAGTATGCTAGTAGGTCAAACTGTCTAAATTGTGTAGATTTTACTTGACAGATTATTAAAACAATATTCTTACATAGTTACCTTATTTATTTAACCAAATACATTACCATGGTTATATTAATGTGGATGTATCTGTTAAGCTGATACAGAAATATTAAAGAATAAAATACTTAACATTTACAGAATTCATATCTCTTATCTATTGTATTGCTTAATGTAAAGTTTCAAGCCGGCACATTTACTTCAACATTATTTTTCTCATGCGAAGAAGAGTCACCCCCTATTGTAGAATCATTTTCTTCTCCATCACCAACTTTTGACTTCTTGTCACTCTTACGAAATTTATCGTACCTATAGTAAAACATAATAATTAAACTAAATTAAAAAAAGTTTGCTACATATTCGCATACTAGCTGTACCCGCGACTTTGTCCGCATAAAAAAGTGACCTTGACCAAATCTTGAATAATATTGAATGACCTAATCCAATAAAAACCAAACGAAAAAATTTCATCGTTTTAGCTTTAAAAGTGATGATACGGAAATCCATACAGTTCAATCAACAGCCTAAAAATAAGTTTCAAACATCTAGCTTTGAACATGACGACACTTCCATACAATCTTTCATATTTATGGTTGAACCCCTTATATCTTTTCATATCTAGGGGTTAAACCCTTTTTCTTTATATATATTTAATAATAGATGGGCTAAAAATTAAAGTTCAAGCTTCTAGTTTTAAAAATGACAATAATTCCATATAACTCTCCTTAAAATACCTTACGACCCATTTTTCTTTATTTATATTTAATCAACAGCCTAATAAATCAGGTTCAGGCTTAAAGCTTTGAAAATGACGATATATCCATACAACCTTGCATCTACCCCTTCAATCCCCTTACAACCCTTTTTCACATTAAAAAGTAACATATATCCTCTCTCAGGATCTCCATTATGTGTTCCAAATTTAATTTAAATAGGTTCAGTATTTTTGGCGCGTAAGCGAGACAGACAGTGTTACTTTCACAGTTATAATATTAGTGGGGTACTTAATAAAAAAAACCGGCGAAAAAAGTTATCATTGTTCTAGCTCAAAAATCATGAATTTACATAAAAATTTTGATTCCCTCTTTTATTTTACCCCCTAAGGGTAAAGATTTTCAAACTTTGAATGTCATACTTATTCATATTTAATCACCAACCTAAAATATAAGTTTCAAGTTTCTTGCTTCAAAAATGACGATTCTTACATACAACCTTGTACCCTTTCAAACCCCTACAACCCGTTCATCGCATTCAAAAGTAGCCTATCTCCTTTATCGGGATCTCAACTAACTGTACCAAATGTCTTTTAAATTGGTTCAGTACATTTGGCGTTACTTTCGCATTTATAATATTAGTAAGGATTTAATAACAAACAGTATTTATTACCTATAAAAATCTTTAAAAGCGTTGATTTATATTTAATTCCATTTAATTTCGATTAAATATTTTTAAGACCATAATGTTATAGTGGAGGATATCTACGCTTATCTGGTATGACAAGTTTTGTTACATGTTACATAATATATGGATTCATAAATCGCATATGGGTCGTGCTAAAATCAGGTCTGATGTTGAAACATGAATGATTGAACACAAGAAAGAAATAAAAAAAATATTTAGTATAATACGAACTTTAGACAGCACTATCGGTATCACCAACAGAATTAATTGTGTAAAGAGACATTAAACTTAAAATAAATTCGATGTCGAAAGTCTTGTTTTGTAGTATACTATCTACCAATATATCTCACAAAAAAAGGTAAATATAGAGGTCACTAACCCGGCTATAGACAGTGTAGTGATGCAGATTGTAGTACAAATTAAAAATCAATATTGTATTGGATATTTCGATTAATCTATTTAATGTGAACAATTTCACTAAATTCATATACAATCACGTTTATATGACTGACGAAAAACTAAGTTTGACAGACGGTGTTAAAACTAAATTAAATATAAAAACTTACAGAATAACTTATTTAGTAAAAATAACGATATTTATGTCATAAAAAACTCTAAGCGCTAATTAGTCTGAAATTCCGAATTAATTAATTAATTGAGATGTTAACACAATTTATAATCCTGGGAACATGTACATTGAGCAGTCTCTATGCAATTGTTGTACGGCTTTTGACTTTGACAGACTAAAATTAACACTTTATGTCCAAAGTTATTACCTATCAAGATCATCATCATCGTCACTCCCTTCATTGCCCTGTGGATCGACTTCTCGTAGGAGTTCACCAATATCCTTGTCAACATCTGCCCACAGTTTGTCTTCACTCCCTAAAAATTATAAAATAAATTTTATCAAATGGTTTTGAGACAATTGGATAAATATATATCAGTGATTTTTGTTACCGTTTAGAGAAAAATACAAAGTACGAGTAGAAATACACTACATAATTGAACTACAAACAATATTAAGCTATTTGCATATTCTCAAAGTTGTACTTTTTACCTTGTATTTAATGTGGTGGTTATTTACCCATGCCACACTGCACATACAGCTACAACCTCGTTTTAAGAACTGTTTAAATAATGCAACAGTCTTCCACAAAGTAAATAAAAGATTTTTTACAACATTTTAATGTCAAGAAATTGCTGTCAAGAATCTAATATGTCAAATATATTTCTTTTTCAATGTGCTCTATAAAACTACTAGTAAGAAATTTACTTTGCTCACCAAAGGATGGATGAATTCCACTAAATATAATATAAATAAAATGATTCATGTAGGAATACCAAGAAGCTCAAAATAGTGACAACCTTATATTAGTTTTAAAACTATGTATTATTAAGTAAGCTTAAAATGTATTTTAGATTGACATTTTGGAATTAAGTATGGAATGATAAAATATTATGAAAAGCAATACATAAGATTATTAATTGACTTTTACTAACCAGTAGCATTTGTTGTATCTCCACCATTTTCTAATTTCTTCTTATTTTCTTCCTTAGGTTCTGTTTTCTCAGATTTTACTTTATCATTTATGTCATCTGATTTTGCAGGATCTTTCTCTTCCTCTGTAACAGATTATTAATGTTTATTTGTTTCTTAACATAACAATAATAAATAAGTACTCAATGCAATAGAATAATTAAAGTAGTAGTACACCTATAATTATTTTTAAAGGGAAACTGCGACATTTCAATACTGCGAGGAATCGAACAAGTGACCATCGGAGGTATGGAGATATAGAGGTATGACATACCGCTAGACCGACGCCGTCAGAATAGTTTCTCATTACCCTCTCACTGACCAGAGTGGTAAAGGTGACTAAGTTTTTTTATATCACAATAGTTTTTAAATATTATATTATATGTATGTTAGTCTATAAGCTATTTATAATATGGGCCTAGTTGCCTGAAATAAATAGTGGAAAATATTCATGAGTACATCTGATAGAACAGTCACCTTAGCCTATGTACGCAAGGGCAATCAGGAGAGTAAAGTAATTCTTCAATACCTTCTTGAAAAATCCCATGCTGTAATCTCTAGAGAAAACCTCGGCGGGTAGTTCATTCGCCAAAATATATGCCAAAGTTCCTCTGAAACCGCACTGTCCGTCACACTTAGATTCGAGAGTGTGGGTATAAATTCCGTGTGGAAGGCGAGTGGCGTGATGGTAAAATGTAGTTACCTTTCTGCTGATGCAGCTGGCGGTGGATGCGCTCAGCGTGCTTGCGCAGGGTGCGCGTGTCGCGGTGTTGTACGTAGCGACCGAGGTGGATGCGCATGCGGCAGTGTCTCCGCAACGCCTCAGCCTCCTCGGCGCCGCCCGCCTCCGCCCGCGGCAAGTACACGCGGCACAACTCGCACCACCACACCTTATCACAATATTCACCATTCTTACAATGCCGCCAGACATATCTCGGAAACTTTGAAAACAATTAAGTAAATATTTAGTCACCAAACAGAATATGTCCAGAAAAAAAATAAAATTGTTATTGGGCATATAAGTTTTTGTTTCATACATATGACACGAATTTCTGTTACCATTGCATATTTTTTTATCTCTTTTAGGCCTTTCTTAAATAATAACACATTTATTATTTGAAAATACAACCAATATTTAAATTAATCATACTATGCAACCTATTGTCTCAATGGAACATACCTCTAGTTTCTTAATATGTTCACTGCCAATATTAATTTCCACTTTGGGTTTCTTGGGAGATGATTCTTCTTTTTTCTCACCACCAGAATCGTCATCTTCGACTTCTATAAAACATAATGTGTCAAAAACTATAAACATATATAATAATGAAAATAAATGCAACAGAATAAAGTTATAAAACAAAGATAACTAACCATCTACATCACCAACAGAATCCAAAGTCATGAAATTATCCAAATCAACATCCATTCCCTCATCACCACTAGCCTCAGCTTTTGGACTGGCTCGGTGGGTGGACTGTGTCGCTTTTCTCTGTAAATATAAAATCTCTCTCTCTATAATTATTCATGAATAATTGATGTTCAAACTGTACAAAACAAATGCATAATTCTAATTTTATATTGTCAATAATAATCCAATTTCATAATGTGTGTGTTTAATTCATATTCATAAGTTAACTTGTAAATTAATTTCCAAAATTAGCCAAAATTACTTTCCAAATTGTGTTGTATGGATATATTGTATCATTCCATAAGAATTAATTACTCGAAATAAGTATTTTAGTATTCAAGAGTGACAAAATACAGATGAGTATTTGTATTTTGAAGACTTAAGATTATTAGACAACAAGACATCTGTGTCTGTGGTTCCTTTCTTGTCGGCAGTTATCGCTTCAGGTTTATTTCCCGCTTCACTTTTAGGCGGCTTGTCATTGCATTGCAGTCGCATAAAAACATCAAGCGCCGGCAGAAGAGGGACGTAAATCTTAAGGTAAGTGATAAGACAGACCACAATAGATCTATGTAGGTCATAGTACGGGTCTAAGCACCTGACAATAGCCCAAACATCCCAATAGGCCATTTGGGTTTTTCTTACGGAATGTTAGTAATGTGGACTAATAAACCCATTGTTATTAACATATTAACAATGTACCATGTCAGATTGACCTCCTTGAGTTTCCCCCTGGAAACTATCGTGAAAATTTCCTGGAGAATTTGTCACATTGGGTTAACTGACCTGACTTCATGATCATCTTGTCATACTTCATTGGTGCCCCGCCAGCGTAAACCGTTAGCGCAGGCGGGTGCACCATTCCATTATCATCAATTTAAAAAAACTACTCAATGAAAAAATACCTTAAGGTGATCTAGCGAACATATGTGGTGCTCGTAAATCATGGGCGAGCGGAAGGTGATGCGGCAGATGCGACAGAACGGCATGAGGAAGCGCTTCATGGCGCGGTGCGTGTCGGTGAGGTTGTGCGCCTGGCGCGTGGTGCGGTGGTTGAGGCGGCACACGAGGCAGAACGTGGTGCGCGCCGCCAGCTCCGCGCCGGCCGCCGCCTCCAGCTCGCGCTGGGCGCCTCGCTGCGCCACGCGCATGCGCAGCAGCTGCGCCTTGTGCCGCCGCGCCACCGCAGACATCGCCGCGCGGTGCTTGCCGGTCAGAAGGTGCTTCGCGTAACCCTGCGCACCCGCATTTTTATGAACATCACGACCTTATTTGTTACAAACCCTAGATATGAACCCTGTATCGAAATAATAAGTTTCTGCTCCTTCCCCCGACTCAGGTAATAAATTTGTGAAAGTATCTGAGTGCATTCTCAGTCATATATTCCGTAATGTTTTTAAGTAAGAATTTTGAATGAAAGATATGTTTAGTACAATGTATTCTTTATGCTTGGATTATCGAATGAATATTTGTACGCTGGAAAGAACAGAATATGATTAAACCAATTTTTATGGAATTACCACTATTGTACATACCATATTCTGACAAATAAATAAATAATTATTATACTTTATGACCAGAAAAAACAATCCACAATGAATAGTATTATAATTTGACAATAGATACAAACTTGTTTATATTATATTCAATGTTATAAATCCCTATTACCACAGATAATATAATATTAGATAGAGATACTCCATCCCACACAAGAAAATGGTTCTTTCCTAACTCGGGCTGTTTTATTTCGCCGCCCTAGGAGCTAGATGTCACTATATCTGAAGCAGTTCGGATTACTAGTGGGTGATTAGTAATAAAGTATGAAAATAGATGGCAGGTAATTCGGTCTACATGACATCTGTTTTGCAAAGATACGTACATAATAGAAATATAACTGTATCAAACTCCTGATTGGGTACAATCGAAAATTCAATGTAGGTATAATATTGTTCGCTGACACTCTGCAGACACGGCTAATGTACCTATGTATCTATGTACTATGTTACAGTTACTTTTTTCCATGCCTACTTTTTTTCTCCCGACGAAGATATGTCGTAACGCGTCTGCGCTAAAATCGGGCTATCGGTTAAGGAGCAATAGCTCCTTAACGAATAGCCCGATTTTAATACGTTTTTTTTATTTAAACTGTTATGTGAGTGATAGATTTTAGCTATAATCAATTGATGTACATATGGGTACCTCATATAATTTTCATTGTATAATTATTTCTCTAATAAATAAAAAAAAAACTGATAATAATATCTGCAAACCATCAATCTGTTATATGTATAGGTTCTTTCAGGGATACTACATCGGTGCTAATGACATGTAGGTACTTATTTTGATGTTATACCTATTTGTAGAACCTTTGATATGTACAAGCTACGCCTTTACTCCTAATTTTTTGGTATTTATGTAAGTTGTTATTCAGTTGAAATTAAGCTGCGAAATTACAGGGTATTTGGACATAACATCTATGCTCTCCAGAATGATAACGTATCAGGGATATAGCGGGCACATGATCACGTAATGTTTGTAATGCTGTTTAATAATATATGTGTATGTATGTACGTCGGATAGCGTCGTGGTTGGATGGATCGTCAGCTTATTTACAATTTCAGAGAATAATAGTAGGTAGTAACTTTTGACAATATGGATGAGGGAGGGTAACGGTGATGATGATGAGACCACCATTCTGGTGGTGATGATGAGATTAATAATGACGATAGTGACGGTGGTATTTATTTATGACCACCATAAAATTCATCATTGGCAGCATTTTCAACATTATCATCATTGTTCATAATGATGATTGAGATCAAATTAGTTAATTGATTAAAAACGTAGCAAGTATTAGGTAGGTACTAAGTCCTTATATGTCTTAAATACAAGGTTCTGGGATGCTGTGATATACTACAGTCTCTAGATTTTGTTTCTTATTAGTATTCCACGACCAAAGTCTATAGACAGAGAAATATTGTATAGAGAGAAATATAGATTAACACAGAGATTTCTGATGTAAATGGGAATTATTATACACATTGCATTAAAAAATATATATGATTACCATCTAATACAAAATCATTATCTAGTAAATTATTCCTGACATTTTATCGGATGAGGTGAAACTAACATTGCATGATCACAACACTTGAAGATCATAAAATTTTTATTTCAGGTAACAAAACACTTTTAAATAATTTATTAATCACAGAATAAACAATTGTTAATAATTTACAATAATATTTCTTTCACTGCTTGTCTGTTATACCACTAAAACTTCAAACACTTCTGTTATTTTTATATTATATTCCAAATAAATCAATATCAAGACAATTATTTCATCAAAATCATTTCATATTTGATTCCTGGTACACAAAATATTCCTGGACTTGTTGATGAAGCAATATAATAACAATCATGGGCTTAAATCATATACATACTTATTTGCAGTCGGTTGCACATAATATAATTACTTGGAATTTCTTCGCATCACTAGTCCATTGCTTTCTTACTTATTTAATTATGTTATTAATGCATTGTGATTAATAATTTACAGATTTTTCTTCTGCTTTTTCTCTTATTTTTACTTGCGTTATTGTTTTATACAGTAAAATGTTCATATATATATATATTTCTTATTTGTTTAAACTTTTTTTCAGTATTAAGTTGTTGATGTCAGGAAAATCTGAAAACAATATCATATATGTTACATTTTCATGAACTTACATGAATGAATTTACATGAAAGTAACTAAACTGTAACCTTATTAGCACAATAAACATATTATTCATTCAGTTCTAATAAAATATAAAAATAATACCACTGTTTAGTACTTTATTTTAATGCATCAGTATTTTCTCAATCAATCAAAAATTATAAAATCAATGTTAGTTTTTTTAACTTACATTCATAACAATAATATTAACATAATAATACCACATTAAAGTGGTCACCAAGTACCTGTTTATTATATTTTAATATGAAAGATACACACGCATAAATATGCAAGTTTTTAACAACTTATAGTTATACCTGGTATGAGATAATCCTCAGACACCATAGTTTACTAAATATTTGTAGTAACTTCCTTAGACACATTAAAATTATTGAGTTTGACAAAAAAATAAGAAGTTCAATGAAGTCTGAACAGGAACATTTCAAAAGTTGAATTGAAGTACCTACTTAACTTAAATGATGAAAAAAACAGAAAAAATCCAATGCTAGTGAAAATATGTTTTAAGCATTTGACGTAAAGTCGATTATCCTATTCTTTTATTCCTATATTTTATATTTTTAACCTTTCATTTATTTTGCCAGTACTCGTTGTCATTTTGATACATAAAAAAATATGGACCAACCTTCGATTTTAAATCGATATTTTTATTTGTGATGAAATCTAATAATATAGTCTCTATATTATAATTTTTTTTTTCTTCTATATATAATCTTTTCTTTCTTCGACTAGCAACACCAACGATCGTTGTCATTTTCAGCTGGCCGTAATAAATAATTAATTTGTAATAGTCTATCACACGAATATTATATTTTCGACATCGTAATTAGTGATATAATAGTGCAATAAGTGTCGATTATTGTTTGTGTACCATTTGGTAGTGTATTATTTGCAAAAAATCGACATTAAAATAGTGCACCGGCCATCTGTCAAACTTCTTTCGTTGGTAAACAACTACTTTAAAACTATTTTATAACTATTTGTTGGATTTATTCTAAGAATTTCATAATATATACAAGTTTTATAGAAAATATTCACATTAAGTTAAATTGATATTAATAATTGTGAAGTTCAGTTGTTGCGTACGTCGAAGGAAAAAATATACCCACAAAATATATTGTAAGTAATTTTATGTTTTATATTAATATAATTTGAAGGAAAGGAGCACAATTTAATTCCATTTACTTAATCTTGTAAAATATAGGTTGTATAAATATACCTAACAAATATTATTCAAAATGTTTAACACTCAAAATAAGTAAGGTTCAGTTGCTGTTCTCGTTGTTATACTTTGTTTCTTTTAGAAATAACTCACTTCACTCTCCCTAGTAACTATTCATATTTTCAATAATGTCACTATCTACCCGTTCCACAACTGCACGGCAGACAGAGATGAAGCTTACAGTGGCCCTACAAGAACTTCAGGCATCCAAAGATCTCAGTGACAAGTTGATCAGGGAGAGAGAAGAGAGTAAAGATGAAATTTTAAAAATTATAAATAAAAATACCCAATTAAAATCAGAATTGTCAGAACTTCATAATAGTCATCAGGAAGTTATTGAGCAGCGGGATCAGCTTCAAGAACTAATAAGTAGCTTTCATCAATGTAGTAACACTCATGAGCAAGCCTTGAGGCGTATCACTGAATTGGAGCTTGAATTAAAACAGGCATATTCTAAAATCAATGATCTAGACACAAGATTGGAATCTGAACAAAGTAATGAGATTAGTAATTTATATGAGGAACTTATTGTTGACTGTGTGCCTCCTTCTACTACAGTTCCATGCACCCATTCTGATTGACTTTACTAGTGATACATCACCTAAATTAGGCAACTATAACAGTAACATGTGTATGTTGAGTAATAAATTTAAAAAATATTTAAAACTAAAACGGTCTTATTACAAAAAATCTGTTAAAACTCGGACGAAACGTGATCTAAATGGTCGTGGTTTAAACCATTCCTAAAGTTAATACTTGGAATAAGCCTAACATTATTACAAATCCAGATCTAACAGAGGACTACTTAGTACTACAGTTAAATCGTTCATTATGTATTCCATACAGAAATCAGTTACTCATGTCTGTTAGCGTACAATTACGTTCCATTTTACCAGAAAACTGAAAAGATCAAAAATAATATTACTTCAAATAAAAATGTATAAACTAAAAATAAATTTATTTCTATTTATCTATGTCTTCATTATAACTATTTCATTAATATATAATATTTGTTAATGTACGGCTAAAAATCAGTTTTAAATTAAAAAGTGGGAGTCCTATACGGAGAAAAGGAACGGCGGGATAATTTTATTGGATCGATTCAAATGGTGACTATATCAAAGTCAAATGAGTGAAAAAATAACAAATAACGTCTTTTTATATTTTTATTATCGTAAAATTAGCTTTAAATATTTTTAGTTAATATATTTTTTTTAGTTAAAATATTTTTCGAAAAGCAACAACTTACAATACAATTTTTAAAATGGAGTTTGACTTTTTGCATTTAGACCACTGTTAAACTAGGGACATCGCAGGTCTAATTTTAGACCATAGACGAATTACGATTTAGAGATAAACTTCATTTTGTAATAAGGAATACATTGGTGAATGGTTTATTACTAGTGCTAAACCAGGTTTATCTTTTTGTAATAAGGCCGAAAAAGTTTATTTTAGTTATTTCCATAGCATTATGTCATATGGCATACTGCTGTGGGGTAAAGCTGCCGATGTAAATACTATATTTATTTTACAAAAGAGAGCCATACGTTCTATTTATGGTAAGGGTTCTAGAGAGTCATTACGTCAATGCTTTAATGAATCAAATATCCTCACCGTTGCCTCACAGTACATTTATGAAAATATTATGTATACAAGGAAAAACTTAGATAGTTTCAAGAAAATTAAAGACTGTACAAGTAGAAACTTACGCAATAAAAATAAGTTAATTTTACCTAATTGCCGTCTACACAAAGTTAGTAATTCATTTTATGGTAATTGCGTAAGATTCTATAATAAACTGCCAGAATCTACGCTAAATCTGACAGAGAGGCAATTCAAACTTTATATTAAACAAATGTTATGTAAAAAAGCCTATTATAGGATAGATAATAGCCATATATTAGCAAGTATAAGTTTATTTGCGGACAACGTTATAATTTATTTTTTATACTGCTTTCTTGATATATGATAGCGTAGCGGCTTTTGTATTGATTGCCGCATGCATCCTCATGTAAAGTGCGAATACTGTAACTACCATATAGTAATTTTTGTAGCTGTGACGTGGTCGAGTGGAATGAGTAGTCATGCTCACTAAAATGTCCAGACATGTGGCGGCGTGGTGGCCGGGTCATTGGGCTCCCTAAAATAGGGTCGAGCGCAGTGATGGCTGGCTCATCCGTCATACTCGTGCACGAGTGCTGCTTGTAGGCACTGGTCTGCTCTTATCACTACGACTGATTTAATCTTATTGTGTTTTTATATTTGAGCCTAAATAAATTAGTGCAATAAATTAGTAGTGTAATAAATTAGTAGTTTGTATTCACACGTTTCGACTTGTAAAATGTGAACTTACAAGGATTGTTTAAAAGAGCAACACACAAGTTTCTTAGTTATTCTTCTTGTGATGAGACAGCTTTCCGAATAAGCGGTAGATTTAAAAAAATGTTGACTATTCAAAAGTGCTTAAATTAAGTTTATTTGAATAAATGATTTTCTGTTCTATTCTATTCTATAAATTATGAATAACCTACCCTCGAATGGAGATATTAAAAAACTTATGACTATAAATAGTAGGTATTAGGATCAGTAATATATCATAGTATTATGAATGATTATCATTTCAAAACCTTGTACAAATTAGTAAGGTTGAAAATATCCTTCTACAAAGACAAAATTCGAGTATTTGTAAAGTTTCTTATGAGTATTTGTAAAAATTCGAGGATCCTCATATTTAGCTATTAATGCTAGTAATTTAGATACCATATAACACTTGTTTATTGAGGTTTCATAAAGGTATAGCTGACCTTATATACTCTATACTACATTCAATTCTCATTCATTAAATTACAATAAGTAGGTATTTATTTTTTTAATAGAAGAACAGGGTCACTAATATCATTAATTGCCATAATGAAGAATGTTAATAGGTTGAAAATTTGGTATAGTAAAGCTTGTATGTATACAAACATATTAGTTTTTGTTTTAGTCAAAAATACCTATTAGTTTTCATTTTATAAGCATTTAAACTTACGATAAATTTCGAGTCCCGCTAACAGTCACGTGACATGTGACGTCATTTTACAACGGTCCGCTCCGCTTAGTAGCGAGTTGCCGAGTGCAGTATTTTGTTTCATTTTCATAATAAAATGGATGTAGGAATCAAAAAGGGCAATCGGATGATCTGCCTAAAATAGATGCACTAATGGTTGCCCATTATTTATCAACAAATACCTAGTGATTTCGTTGCCGCCGAAATTCGAGGAATAAAAAAGTAGGTTAACTTTTCTTGCTATTTAGAAAATTATTATCTGTTTTAAAGTGTTTTGTTAAAAAAATACCCAACTGATATCGTATTGCAACTCAAATAGGAAGAAGTACTAACTTTTTAAATTTTACGTCATAGAGAACAAATGTGTGTTAGAGTTTTACAGGTACGTATGTATGTACATATGTGAATATAGGTACCTCTTTTAGTAAATTTAACTGAACACATATATTGATTTATTGCAAATGTAGTGGGTTGAACAGATGTACTAAAACCTTTTTTAATTTTCGTTTGTCTTATTAATAGGCCGTTTTATTTGTTTTTATTTGTAACTTATTCCAAGACGGCAAGAAACGGCTTTGGTGATGATGCTATCGGTTACATACAAGTAAAAAGAGCAGTACATTTAAAACCACGAAGTTTTAAATGTAACTTGCGAAGATTGTGCCGCCAACAGAGGCTGTAAACGTACTATAGCATTTTTAATGTGGCTACATTGTCGAAGAGAGGACGCAACGACTGTTATCAAATTTATTGAATTTTTTGTGGTTATAATAAAAATAACTATTACTTTGGTGGTTGTATTTGTACGTTTCGGCATAAAACATGATTTCCTAGTATTTGGTTTGGTTATTTTTGAAGGTATTTATAATTTCTAATGAAACGTAAGACGACTCCGTGCTGAGAGCGCGAGCGGACTAAGCCACTGTTGTACTATGACGTCACACCGTCACACGAGTCCGCATCGCACGTTTACTTCTATAAATCAGAAACTAATTGACGTATTGAAGTAATTCTTTCACTTATATTTTTTATTTTTGACAGAGAATATGGAGAGCTAATAATCAAAATTAGTTAACATTCTTCATTACCAGGGTGACCGCGTGGAGGTTGATATAATAGAGTACACTTGTATCAGATCAGTTATTAGCGAACAGATAAATATATAGTACTTGCATACCTGTCAAAATCTTTCTATTTTGCCGTCGTCGAGTAAAAATTATGCATTGCAATTTGTTCCACAAATAAGAGTATAATACAAAATGATGAAATTTTACTCTTTGCAAAGACTGATTAAAAGCACCATCGAATAATGCGCTGTAATATCCTGTTATCGATTATTCGAAAAAATCGATAAATCTATGCTTTTATTTTTAATATGGCAACTCTTTCTAGACAAGTATTACTGGAATAATATTGTTTTCTTGTTCAGCGGTTTTATATTTTTTTTTTATGTTTTATATTTTATTTGAATATATAAAATAAAACTTTTAAAATACGGTGATACAAATGAAAACAGCGGCATCTATGTAATTATTTTGGAAACAATAAGCCCCAATTTGTAATGATTAAATTGTAATCAAATACAGGGCAACAACAAAATGAGTAAATATATGAAAATTACTTTTCAAAACGCATTATTTCATTTTAACATTTATATATGACTTATTAAAAACAGATTAAACCTTTTTGAAAACATAGTTTTGGGTTTTAAACGATTGCAAAACAATGTTGAATTCCATTTGATCCCAATGATGCCATCTAAATCCGTTTTTCGAACTAAAAATGGCTTCTATGCCATTGTTCCCCACTGCTATTACTAATGTTTAAGTTAAAAATACTTACAGCGAATGTAGCGCATTTTTCCTTGCAATGTACGCATGCCAAATGAACATAGGCAGGGACGCGCGGAGGAGCCGCTTCTGACGCCGTGTCCGGTTCTTTGTCAGTGTCCTCACCTCCATCTTGTTCAACATCTGATGCTTCTTCTTCGTCAGGCTGCCAAATAATTGCAGAGTTAACAACTTTTACAGGTGTTAATTGACAAATTGTTTAGTATTATTGTTCCACCGTATAACAACACTATACAATTAGTCCAGTCCAACAAAATTTTAAATAAACCATAATGTGACCAGTTTTAGCACAATATATAAAAATAAGTCTGCAAATATGCGAATAATAATATTTAGAAAGAAATTTTGATTTAAGTTAACAGTGAGAAAGGTATGAAAAAATTAAAAAAGGCGAGAAAATCTTTTTTCAAAATAACTCGATAACAGTAAGAAGTATGAAAAAATTATTTAAACAAATGTTGGAGAATAAAAAATCTGCATAAGGAAGACAAGAAATCAGAAATACGTTAATATGACTGCTTAGGTGGTCCAAGAGGTTTAGCATACCGTTTTTGTATTGCAAGATCATTTGTATTTGTATTTAAAAAAAATGTACCAATTGATATAAAAAGTCTAATGCCCATAACACTAGTTCTGCTTTGTTTGGGACTAAATGGCGTTGTGCGAATTGTCCTGGGGTATTATTTTCTTATTACTATTATTATATAACTTGCATTTTTTAAGACCATTTGTATGTTCCTAAAGTAGATTGATAATCCTTTTGTATCACTATAATGGAAAGAGTAATGAAAAGGTAGTATTCATATTTATTGTAATATTGGTCCATAACATCATAGTATGCTAAAAATGTACCTTTGGAGATTTACTCTTGGATCCTTTTTTTTCTTCAGTAGTCTCTTCTTTGTCATCATCATCCCAATCCTCTTCAGTTGAGGAAGCATTCTCTTTGGACTTCACAGAGCTAGTTTAAAAATTAACAACATTAATATAGTAGAAAATATTAATAGTTAGCAAACCATAAAAAAAAACAAGATAAGTTATTCAATTTTGTTTTTATACTGCACCTTTACTTTAGTGCAGAAGATATAAATATTATATTCTTAACCAACACAGATTTTAATTTTATAATCTGTTTGAGCGGATAATATTACATTTCTCCATATTTTTTTGAAATTATTATTATTCTTTTCTATTAATACAAACCATTGTTCATATATTGCATTAATATGCACCACAATATCATTTCTTCTTGGCTCTTTTTTAATATGTAACACATTTATACCTCTCTGTTTTTTTTTCAAAACCCCACTGTATACATTCCATCAGTCGTTTCATAATTGTACATTCATATGATAATAATATTCAGCTGCAATCATGTAAAGAAACTATATGAATTAAACATTATTCAATATATCAAATTACCTTCGCCCTTTGATAGATCTGAACACGCGGGAATATCCGAGCGATCTATCAGCGAATCGCCTAGAGGAAAAAGTGGCACGCGAACGCGGTGCGCCGCGGAAGGAGGCTCGCGAACGCATCGTGCGACCGCGGAACGATCTCCGCGCCGCTCGCGGCCGCGTCGACGCGCGGGGCGGCTCGCGCGGCGGACCCATGCCACTTGGCTTGCGGTAAGTCTCACGGGTCGGTGAACGTCTTCTATCTTCACCGCCAAATGATCTCCTTTCCCCGCTGTAACTTTCTTGTCTACCGCCGTACGATCCGCCGTAATGACTGCCGCCATCATGGCTACGTCTATCACTCGAGGATCCCTGTACATAATTCTCTTTGGTTCCCCCATAATGCTTTACAAATTAAATTCTATAGAATAATTAGTTAATAAACAAAATTACAAGTATCTTCATCTTTAGTATCTTTTTCATTCGGGATAAATATAAAAGACTTCTCTAGGAAGATCATTCTAGTCACAAAAGGAAATGAGACAACAGATATTATGTAATAAAGATGCTATGACTTCATCGCAATGTACTACTATTCATCATGAAATTGTCACCTTCTTGTTCAGTGCACTGCCATTTGCCATGCATTAATGTCAGACCCACAACCGAAGTAATTTCTAAATTCTCAGTATACATTCATGTATAAATCTTTCATGATTGATGATGTCAATTTGCATGTGGCCTGATATAATGGCAACGAAGAATTTAATAAGATTAGATTGACCACATAATGGTATATTCACTCCCATACAAGAAAGTTAAAGCATCAGCTTATAGATTTTAGTAATGGGCTGCATTAAATGTTGACTTACTGACAATATAACAGTAATGCAGTAATTTTGTCTAAACACCTCTATATTCATCATGTCCTTATACCATAGTATCAATGTAGTAAACATGTAATGACAAATTTTTCTATATTTTGTCTAAACCTAACTCAATTCATTCTAAACCATTTTCTTATGTTTTCAGTTTTTATTCACCTGTTTTATATAATCAAGCAGGTATTCAAAGTAAAATTCATGACTTGTCTATTTATATCCCATATAATAGAAGTAATTTCAACAGTTTTTCTCACTGCAGAATTTTGATGTAGATACACAAGCAGTCCCACACTAATTCTCAAAATATCCTGCATATCATTATGTCCATGGTTTTAATTTTATTGACAAATTGAATGTCAAATCCATTTATCCGACGAAATTTACAACAGTATATCATGTTTGGTAGAGTTCCTATTTCAGAATCATGAGGTGATTTTTATATTTACCTTTCATTATCACATATGGTTACATTTATTCTCCAGAAAAACTGGGAATATGGAGCCAAGTATGGAGTGGAGTCCTGTTGCAATCTCTAAATTATAATATAATTCATTGATTTCCTGACATGCCCATTTTTCCTAAATGTGTCAATAAATCCACATTTATAGGTATTATATTACATTATTACAATACAAATACAAACCTCAATTCTCATCCTTTTGCGCTCGGGTGATCCTGATCGGCCATAATCACGATTAGAATAACTAGCAGAGCTTTCCTAAAAAAAAATTTTAATTTTGACTGATAACTATTGATAATATTTAATTTAGTTGAAAACAAAACATTTTATTTACTTATTAATGTTGTTGCATGTGAAAATGTTAGTATCTATGAGAACTTCTGTTGCTGAGTATTATGATGAATAACAAAAGTGTACTTGTTACTACTTACTGATCTGTAAGTTTTCTTATATGGTTCATCAATTCTATCCCGGCCTGAATTGTATCTGTTTCCACTATTGCTATTGTAACGAGACTCATTGCTGTAAGAAGAGTAGCTGCCACCGCCACGTCCACCCCGGGTTTCATACGAGCCTCTGTTGCTGCTACCACGGTATGTGCCCCTGTAGCCACTGCCTCGGCCACTATAGCTCCCTCTGCCACTATAGCCGCCGCCATATCCGCGACCACGGGATGACATGCTGCACATTCAATTAGTCCTTATGATGTTCAATTTTGTAGATCATTTATTTTTATAATTCAGTAGTACAAAAATAGGTTTTCTTTTTTGGCATGGAAGATTATTACAGACAGGTCTATTCATTGTATAAGTAGCAGTCATTTTCCAATAATTTCATTATTAGTGCTGATTTGAAATTTAAGACTAATTTATAATAATCTTAGATAAGAGATCAAACTAACAAAATAGAAATAGAAGTTAGTGTACTAAAAATTTGTCATCATATGATTGGTTAGAAATGGTATTTTTTTCTATAATGGTGTCTCTTATCTACTAAGAACCGGCTTGGCTCTTTTGGCTGGAGCTAGTTACTAATTGTGTGTAGCTCGTGCGTACAAATCGGCTAGGCGAATCTAGGAATATACGGCACTACTAGAGTTGTTGTTACAGGGCAATGGACTTTCACATGATTTCCCTGGAAAGAATCGTCGTTACTTTGTCACGATGCAACTGTCTTGACTTTTAAGACTTATGCCTCGTCGGCGAAAACCCGCTTCGGTACCAGGTATGAAGACACCCACCATTTGATTAATAGAAATTATTACATTATTTACATTTATATTATTTTTTAAGAGGTAGCTACTACGTTAAAAATCTTATTAAATTACGTTCAACTTGCAGGAAAGAAACAAGATTAGTAATTAATTGTTAGGTTAAGATAAAATGGCGTCACCGTGGTTCCATTCATCCAAGCGGTAATTTTATAATCACAAGATATTTTTTTGCTACCTTTCTAACTTTTACAATATAATTAAGTAATTCAAAAATAAACATACGTACTGTTTAGTGAAGCGATAAAACTTAAGCAAATAATATAATCACAAATATTCTGTAATAAATTCTGTAACTTCCAGCTAAGGGTAACAATTTTTTTTACTCGTGTATTTTATTTACGGTTCTGGACTCTAGATGCAATTTATAAGCGCGTAGACGCTAGGTTATTGGTGTTCTGTGGCGTAAACTGTGATTGAATGTTACCAAATTTATGTCTGTATTATATCTGTGTCATAAAAGTTCAGTAGCGTGTATTCCCGGTTTCGCATGTTTATTAGAAAACGGACGCTGAAGAACAACCGGGATGGATGGCTGTCAATTTGCATCAAGCTAGTCCCGTGTCTACTAAATATATACCCTATACCCTCCTTCATAATATTGTATACAACATTGTTGCCAAACTTAAAATATTTGGTTGCAGTAGAAAGAAATAAAAAATATGTTAAAATTTTATATATTACTTTAAAGTGGCTCTCTAAGCTGATATGTAATTATATTTTTATCGATTTTCGTAGGTCTAAATGTCATACAAACTTGTAAGAGAATAAAATGTCAATGTATACCTATGACTACTTCTTTAATACTATGATTTGTTTTCTATTGTCTTGTCATATTGTAACATTTCAACATATCTTACTAGCATTTTAGTTGAATTAAACCAATATTTCCTTGGTCTATATGTCTATATCGTTTTGTATCAATACCGAAGGCAAAAAATTCGTACATGTATGTCCTAGTGCAGTTGGCTTTGTCGTACTATATTTATACTATATAGCCCAAGAGCCCACGACTGCCAGACATACGTCATTTTAATAAACGTGAAAGTTCTTGTCTGTGTGTCCCCAACACAGGTAAGAACGATCCCCAAATATGAAACCTGGATCGTGGTTCCTTTGGCAGGTACCAGGTAACAAAGGTGTAAAAAAAATCATACCAAATTCGTTATTTTAAGAAACTCCATATTTTCATATATTGTTCGTAGCACTATTATAACTTGCGCTGCTCATTGCCAGACACGTAGTGTGGTTCCAACCCCCCGCCGGCCCCCCTAAACTATACTATTTTAGAAATAAACTTACGTCATTTTAATAAAGCTGAAATTTATATATATTATTGAGAGTTCTCTCAAACTGAGTTTCCTAAATTGCCAGACAGTTTTCTTGGTTCCTTATCATACCAGACTCATTGAAACCGTATATTGGGTAACAACGGTGTATACAATTTCATATCAAATTCGTTATTTTAAGATGCTCCATTTTTTCACATATTGCTCGTAACAGTATTATAACTTGCGCTGCTCATTGCCAGACACTTAGTGTGGTTCCAACCCCCCGCCGGACCCCCCTAAACTATACTATTTTAGAAATAAACTTACGTCATTTTAATAAAGCTGAAATTTATATATATTATTGAGAGAAATATTAAAATGAGTTTCCTAAATTGCCAGAAAGTTTTCTTGGTTCCTTAAATACCAGACTCATTGAAACCGTATATTGGGTAACAACGGTGTATACAATTTCATATCAAATTCGTTATTTTAAGATGCTCCATTTTTTCACATATTGCTCGTAACAGTATTATAACTTGCCCTGCTCATTGCCAGACCCTTAGTGTGGTTCCAACCCCCCGCCGGACCCCCTAAACTATACTATTTTGTAAATAAACTTACGTCATTTTAATAAAGCTGAAATTTATATATATTATTGAGAGTTCTCTCAAACTGAGTTTCCTAAATTGCCAGACAGTTTTCTTGGTACCTTATCATACCAGACTCATTGAAACCGTATATTGGGTAGGAAACTCAGTTTAATAGTTCTCTCAATAATATATATAAAGTTCAGCTTTATTAAAATGACGTAAGTTTATTTATAAAATAGTATAGTTTAGGGGGGTTTACGGGGGTTCTGGAGTGTCTGGCAATGAGCAGAGCAAGTTATAATACTGTTACGAGCAATATGTGAAAAAATGGAGCATCTTAAAATAACGAATTTGATATGAAATTGTATACACCGTTGTTACCCAATATACGGTTTCAATGAGTCTGGTATGATAAGGAACCAAGAAAACTGTCTGGCAATTTAGGAAACTCAGTTTGAGAGAACTTTCAATAATATATATAAATTTCAGCTTTATTAAAATGACGTAAGTTTATTTCTAAAATAGTATAGTTTAGGGGGGTCCGGCGGAGGGTTGGAACCACACTACGTGTCTGGCAATGAGCAGCGCAAGTTATAATAATGCTACGAACAATATGTGAAAAAATGGAGCATCTTAAAATAATGAATTTGACATGAAATTGTATACACCGTTGTTATCCAATATACGGTTTCAATGATTCTGGTGGAATAAAGAACCAAGAAAACTGTCTGGCAATTTAGGAAACTCAGTTTGAGAGAACTCTCAATAATATATATAAATTTCAGCTTTATTAAAATGACGTAAGTTTATTTATAAAATAGTATAGTTTAGGGGGGTCCGGCGGGGGGTTGGAACCACACTAAGGGTCTGGCAATGAGCAGAGCAAGTTATAATACTGTTACGAGCAGTATGTGAAAAAATGGAGCATCTTAAAATAACGAATTTGATATGAAATTGTATACACCGTTGTTACCCAATATACGGTTTCAATGAGTCTGGTATGATAAGGAACCAAGAAAACTGTCTGGCAATTTAGGAAACTCAGTTTGAGAGAACTCTCAATAATATATATAAATTTCAGCTTTATTAAAATGACGTAAGTTTATTTCTAAAATAGTATAGTTTAGGGGGGTCCGGCGGGGGGTTGGAACCACACTACGTGTCTGGCAATGAGCAGCGCAAGTTATAATAGTGCTACGAACAATATATGAAAATATGGAGTTTCTTAAAATAACGAATTTGGTATGATTTTTTTTACACCTTTGTTACCTGGTACCTGCCAAAGGAACCACGATCCAGGTTTCATATTTGGGGATCGTTCTTACCTGTGTTGGGGACACACATACAAGAACTTTCACGTTTATTAAAATGACGTATGTCTGGCAGTCGTGGGCTCTTGCTCTAATACCCATTATATTTAAACTAATGTTTCAATATTGTCTCTGAGTGTAAAAACGTATGTGGGCTATTTAATCAAGTATTGGCATTTTTTAACTAAAAATGTTTATTAAAATAAAGATGTAAAAAAGATAAATGTTTATTAAACATCCATAATTATCGACATTCCTAAATCATAATTCAAGGCTAAAAAAATTATATCACAATTTGTATAAATTACAAATACAAATTGAAGACAATGGCTGTATAAGCAGAGTCACTTTGCCCTTCCGTGAAAACGTTACAACCGTAAAAAAAAATTACAAATACAAATTTACTAATATTTTTTGAGTCATACAGAATAAAACTTTGTTATTGTAATAAGAATAGTAAGAATTACAAAATTTTTAAAACAGTAGCTGAAATTTGTCTATTTTCTTTATATTATAAGTATTTTTATAAATTAAGAGGAATTTATTAATTTCTGTGGAATTCAGTTAATTTTAGATTTTTTTGCAATGTATTTTTAATAGTTTTGAGTGGTATTAGCTGAGATGCAAGCTAAAAAACGATATATTCTACTTATTTTATCGTGTTCATTTTTATTATATTGTTACTTTTCCGGACATCCATTAAAATCAGAATTAATTCAGAATAGTCGCCGGGACCAATTACCGTCATTTGCTTCAAATAAAGAATTATCAGAAGCACCTTCTCATCTTCAAAGGCAACCCGATTCTATTGCCAAACCATGTCGTATGGAAACTTGTTTCGATTTTTCCAAATGTGAAGGAAGTGATCCAAAAATATATGTGTACCCGACAGAAGGGCCGATAAGCACATCATATCGTAAGGTATTGTCAGTATTACGAGAATCACGATATGCTACAAAAGACCCAACCAAAGCCTGCTTATTTCTGCCAGCAGTAGATACATTGGATGCAGACCCTTTATCACCAGAACATGTTTCTGATGTAGAATCACGATTGTTACATTTACCATATTGGAAGAATGGCCGAAACCATCTTATTTTTAATTTATATGCTGGTACGTGGCCTGATTATGCAGAAGGGGCTCTAGGTTTTGATCCTGGGGAAGCTATTATGGCTCGAGCAAGTGCATCTGAAACAATTTTTCGTGATGGATTTGATATATCACTGCCATTATTTCACAAAGAGCATCCAGAACGTGGTGGAGTACCTCCTGCTGCTACAGCTAATCCATTCCCAGCACCACGACAACACCTGTTGGCTTTTAAAGGAAAACGTTATGTTCATGGTATAGGCAGTGAAACAAGAAATTCCCTGTGGCATTTACATGATGGCAATAATCTTATTTTAGTCACTACTTGTCGTCATGGTAAATCTTGGAAAGACTTGAGAGACGAAAGATGTGATGAAGATAATCGTGAATATGATAAGTAAGATTTTTATATTCTTGGGAAACCAAAACCAAAGGAAACAAAAATTTTAGTTATAAGGAAGTCAACTCTTCACTAGTCTCTTCTTGATATCTAATATTCTCATTCTTTTTTAATTTGACACAGTACTTTCTAAGTAGAAGATAATAAGTTGCTTTTTTATCTGGGATTATATTTGTTAATTTACAAAACAGACTGAATACTTCTTACTTGCGTATAGTTAATAGAATAAGTAAATTGTTGTAGGAAAAGGTATAAGTAATGGAAACCAAATGACATTTTGAATCTGCCTATTAATGAATAATTACTTATATGGCAAACATACATTGCATACTAGCTGACCTGGCAAACATTAAATTAAGACTTTAAAAAATAGGGGTTGATAATAGATCGGTGAAAATTTTGAGTGAGAGACATCCTCTTTAGATAGAATACTAAGGAGGATGTCTCTCTCAAAATTTTCACGGATCTATTATCACCCCCAATTTTTTTAAAACCTTACCATTCAAGTAGCATGCAATAGATTTACCATGCAAGAGCTGGATATATCATCTGGGAGAGAAAGTCTTAGAAATCTAAGTCCCAGGAACAGCTTGAAGTTTCCTTCTCTTAATTATTTTTGGAAATTATATACATAAAAAAGACATGATACAGTCAATCATACTCATAAATACTAATATTTGTACCAGTAAAGAATCAAATTCGTGACCATCGGAAGGTCTAGTTTTCTATAAATATAGTAAAAGTAGTTATTCTATTTTGTTCTAGATTTGATTATGAGCAGTTATTGGCAAATTCAACATTTTGTTTAGTAGCGCGTGGTCGTCGCCTTGGTTCATATCGATTTCTTGAAGCACTAGCAGCAGGTTGTATCCCTGTTTTGCTAAGTAATGGGTGGCGGCTTCCATTTGACGAACGTATAGATTGGCGTCGCGCTGTAATATGGGCAGATGAACGTCTGCTGTTACAGGTATCACTTGATGTTTGATATTATCTACCCACTTAGAAAAGGATTAATTGTGACTGTCTATTATGTTTTCTGTTGTGCTGTATTTTCGATAATTCTGAAACAATTTTAGTGATTATTTTTAAATTCCCAGAACTCATCAAATGACTTAAAAGTGATATACTAACATTGTAACAACAGCACTTTCTTAATTATTATTACTATAACTAAAATGTTACGATAGTTAAATATTGAAAAAGTTACTTAAGTTGAATAGTACAACTGTATTTTGTTGTAGGTACCAGAGCTAGTCCGTTCAGTGTCATCTGAACGTGTACTTGCACTAAGACAACAAACACAGCTATTATGGGAGCAGTATTTTTCTTCCATCGAAAAAATTGTGTTTACTACAGTAGAGGTAACAGTATTACAACTTGAGATACTAATACTATTTTATGCAAGTTTTTATATGATTTTTATGAAAATATTTTATATACAGATATTACTGGAGCGTATTTTGGCACATAGATCCTCAAGACAACGTGAAGCTCTAATTTGGAATGCTACACCTGGAGCTCTGGCAACCCTAGCCACTTATGGAGATTCCCGTGCACATTACCCCATTGCAGCTCCAGCTCCACCCGCACCACCCGCGTCCCCCGCGCCGCCCGCTCCTCTCCCCGCGCCCGAAGTACCACTTACCTCTCCCCCGCCTACACCCGGTAATACATTTACAGCTCTACTGTATGTTCAGGCCACATCACCAGCTTTACACAAATTACTTGCAAATATCGCCAGCAGCGAGTTTTGTGAAAAGGTGTGTAAATATTTAGAGCTATGTAATATTAATTGCGTAAAAATAGATTTAGTTAATAATTGTTGACGAATATTGACGACAGCAAATTTTCTACAAAACTTTAAAAAACAATATCTCTAATTCTCCACTTTTTAGGATAAATGTTCTTGCAGATATGTTGTTTGATGCTTATTTCTTATTATAGTTTATTGCGTATATTTTTCATCTTGAGACAACAACTTGTTTTGAATTAATTTCATGTCTCATATTGTGTTTGTGATCACATTATAAATTGAAAATTTATATTAAATTCAAGCTCAGATAAGAATTTTTCACGGTTGTTTACAATTATATGAACAGAATACTCATTTCTACTACTTTAGAAAATCAAAATTTATTATAATGTTTTTATATGTTTATCAGAATACTTATTGATTAACATATTGAGAACATTATAATAAATAAAAATAATATTTGTATAGATTTATATTTGACATAATTTTAGTTATATCAAAAGTTTTAAATTTTTATTCTGCATTTTTGTACGTATAACTCTGTAATATTCAGGTGGTATTAGTATGGGACAGCGAGCGTGCAGCGCCTTCATTAAAATCATTAGCGCGCTTAGCTGGAGATACACGAGATGCCTTGCCTGTACTGGTCATAGATGCCACCACTCACTACCCTGGGTAATAACGTATATTGATTATATTATGTAGGCCCTTCATTGTTCTTAGAAGTAAGATGAATGCAAAATTATAAAGCGAGCTATTATTATGTATGTCATCACAGTAACATCTAGTAGCCTATATGTTAATTGATATAATAGGTAAGAAAAACAGTGAAAGAAATATATCAGTTTTTATTTTATTTACTGCTAGACGAAACAGATGGGCATTCCTTATCTAACATCCTTATATGTATGTTGCCTTGTTTTAGTGAGGGAGTGTCTGCTAGATGGCAACCATTGTGGGCGGTGTCTACTGCTGCAGTGTTTTCTTTGGACGGTGATGCGCCACTGCTGGCGGAGGAATTAGATTTTGCATTTCGCGTTTGGCAATACTTCCCAGAACGCATTGTTGGCTACCCAGCACGCACGCATTATTGGGATGAAGCCAAGGTATGGTATTAGGCGGTGATTTGCATTTCTATTAACTTAGGTACATAGTTTTAAAACGAGGAGTCATATTTATGTTCATTTTTATTATTTATATATATGTATAATAAAAAATGATTTTTTGAAGTATTACTACACTTAAAATACATTTACTACCGTGACTACGTCCAAAATTAATTTAGAATTTTGTTACTTTGCACAACACTAGACCCCAATCAGCTGTCCGGGCCATGGACATCATAATGCCTAAAAATAACACAAATTTACTGGAATAAAAGACCTCTTCATATTGCTCCTGGTATTTTTATTGCATTTTGGGTTCCGGACAAATAACAAATAAAAAATATTTTTTAATTCCAAGTTGCAGTCACACCAAAGATATATTGACAGGCAAACCATTCCATTAAGTAACTGGCCAGTAAATAGATTTTTTTTTCAGAATATTTGTCACATTGCGATTGCCTATGCCGCCTACTGAGATTTTTTTAAAGGATTATAATGGAATATAACCCACATTACAATTACTACATCATAATAGTAGTCTACTCTGGACAGAACTTTACTCCGATGGCTGGATACCCTTAGTACTCCAAGGGCATCTTATTCTACCCTTGGATTAATATTCGATTCAGCAGTAGATAGCCAATAATGAGTTATGTTGCGCTGAACTGTGAGATAGCGCGATTTAAAGCGTATCTTGTATTTAAATAAATGAAAAAACACTGGACAATTAACATAGCACCATCTAGTCCCACGGTAAGCAGGGCTTGTGTTATGACGACCTCGGTGGTCTAGCGGTCTAGTCTACCGCTTTACGACCGATGGTCGCGGGTTCGATTCCTCGCACGGCACAAACATTTGTATTCATGAGTATGATTGTTTGTATCGGTCTGGGTATTTTCTATGTATAATATGTATGTATTTACAAAAAAAAAATGTATTTGTATCAGTTGTCTAGGACCCATAACACAAGCTTTAGCTAGCTTAATTTGGGTCTAGATGGCGCTGTGTGAATTGTCCTGAGATTATTATTATTATTATTATTATTAATGAACTGATACAAATACTTAGTTTTTTTTTCTAAATACATACATAATATACATAGAAAATACCTAAATCGATACAAACAATTACACTCATGAATACAAATATTTGCACCGTGCGAGGAATCGAACCCGTGACCATTGTAAGTAAAGCACACCGCTAAAGCACCGAGGCCGTCGATTTAATATTTATTATGACACCGACAAACCAGCGTCCACACGGTCAACCTGTAGTTGATACGGACACTTGATTAATTTACGCTTAATTCTACTGCAGAACAAAGACTTCTTCCGCTAATGAATGATGCCAGTTCGATTTGCACTCATTACAAATACATAAATCATATTCAAAAGTACTAGGAACTCATGACAACGACGATCATCACTTTGACTAAGGTTTTGTAAAATTAAAACGGAACTCTAAGCTCTAATTTGGGGAGATCCTGGAAAAGGGTAAAATGAACCACTGCGTGTACTGATTTAGCAAACGGAAAATGTATGTTTATAGTTTTAATTTTTGAGGTAGCGAATTTGTTTTCGTGAATAATTATTAGATGATTGACAACAATAATTGGGATATGGGGGAAGGGATTGTTAATAAAGGGTAACAGTATGTTGCTAAAAATTTACCACATTTCCAGGGATGTCCCCCTTTAGGTCGACCTCCACGTGGTCCCCCCCCTGGAAATCGTCAATCGTCGGTACATGATTCTATTATCATCCATTAAAGAAAGAAAAGACTATTGGAATATCGCAAAAAAGAAAAAAAAACTACATTGTGGTCAAGTACTTGTCTACAAATTAAAAATAATATCACAAGTTAAACACCTAATTATTCATTAATGCTAAGAATTAACATTATTAAGACAACTGTACTTTTCATTTATTAACACAAAACAATTTTTTACGGATTGGGTCAGCAAGTACGGTCTTCCCCGTACCAGGCGAACAGGAATTGTAATAACTAATGCGCAATATTTATTTCTTCAGTCGCTCTCGCTACGTCGTTACGTCAACTTGTTTTTGTTTTGTGTTAAAATTCTTTTAAAAATAATGTAAGTAATATTGAATATTACGTATTTATTAATATAATACTTTGTAGCACCTGTGGATGTTAATTTATGTGATGCGCGTGAGTGTACCGTCGGGGTTTTTTTCGCCGGCAGATTTCTTTTTGTGGGGACACATAATGTGTAATGAAGTGTACAATATCAGAGGAAATGATGGTGTACTCGTATCAGATGCTGCATAATATGCGGAGCTCCATATACAAGCATACAGCCTTACATATGGCAGCAGGGGTAGGCCTTTGAACTCTTACTATAAAACGTAGGTAAGTGAATCTGCTTACCTACTTACTAACATTAATTGGCAATAATCCATACACAGAGTAATAAATAAGTAAAGTTTGCGAGACATAGTTTTGTATGGCACGTAGAGCCCTCGCCACGTGCCATACAAAACGATGTCTCGCAACTAGGGGCGCAAGAGAGCGTAGGAGTTAGAGCGCGTTAAAGGACTGACATTGAATTCACGATGATGATAATGACCGCTAATGTTGGGACCCGTTTATTTTGATGTAACATTAAATTAGTTAAAGAAAAAAAAAATTGTTTAAAGTATTATATTTGATCAGAAAATATGCATAAAGGGTTTATATAACTAACTGTATCCGATCCCTTTGGCTTGATATACCCTTTCCGTTACACCCTGTATATTATTAAGGAGTTCTAACTGCAGATTCGCTTTTATTAATTAAACTATAGGTATATACATATATATACATACTGAGAGCACATTGCTATTGACCGCTAGATTTTGTGTACCATTATGTATAAAGTATAAAAATTAGAAACTTTTTTAAGTACTGAAGTTGACTTCTTAAAAAGTTCATGTGGTTACCACCATCTTACCTATATCAGCCGCTAAGTCGCTTGCTTTGTAGACTGTGGTTCGGTTGAAGGGAAAGGAAGGAGAAAGTATCGAAATTTCAGGATAAGAGCGCCACTTCTTTGATCATCGGTATCACGGGCGTCATATAATAACATGACGTAGTGCTTTTCTCTTGTTAGTTTGTATATTTCTTTTTTACTATGCTTCTATGAAAACCTCTAAGTGGTTTCTCTGTTTCAATCATTTTTATTATTGGTTAGTCTTGGTTTTAATTAATAAATAATCTACGTGCGGTCCCGCAGGGCGCGTGGGGTTACAGCAGCAAGTGGGGCGGCGCGTACTCGATGGTGCTGCCGGGCGCGGCGCTAGTGCACCGCGGCACGCTGGCGTTGTACGCGGCGGCCGCGCCTGCGCTGCGGCTGCACGTGCGGCGCGCGCGGAACTGCGAGGACATCCTCCTCAACTGCCTCGTGGCACATCTCACGCGCCGCCCGCCGCTCAAGCTTGCGCAGCGGCGCCGCTACAAGGCCCCGCACCACAAGTACAGGTCCGCTACCTAACCTATCCCGCTACTACACACACCTAGCGACTTTGGCATTATTTGTGAACTAGCTAGAATAGCTTAGAATCCAATAAATTTTATTTAATTTGTTACTGATATATAGTTACTTATATATTTATATTTATGTACTAACTATATGTCATACAGGATTTATATCTTTACAAATAATTAGATAGAAAATATTGGAGTGGACAATTATTTATATAGGAAAACATAAAGAGCCGATTAATTGTTGCAGGACGTCTTGGAGTGATCCGGAACATTTCGTTCAACGACAATCGTGTCTCAACACGTTCGCCACAGCCTGGGGTTATATGCCGCTGATGAGATCTGTTCTCCGTCTCGACCCTATTCTTTTCAAAGATTCCGTTTCTACACTTAGAAAAAAATACCGCAAAATGGAATTGGTTACTTCTTAATATTAAAACTAATTGAAAATAGATGTAATAAATTAATTGATTAAATATGATTATGAGGTCAGTTGACGAACTACGAATATTTTTGAGAATTTAAACACTGCGTTTCGAAGAAGATCGGGCAGCGCATAACACCAAACAGAAAGTTCACGAATTAGTTTGAATCACGATTCAAATACCTGTACAATACATTCACGGTTTTTTCGTTCGTTCCGAGCTTCATAATTTCTGATGATATGGATAGGTTTTGAGGATAAGTGAGACTGTCGCTTTATACATGTCATATTGCAAGATAGCATTAATGAGGTTTTACTGTACAATTCTAAATAGTTGGGAGAGTCCCACATTACTGTACCTAATGCTCGATATGTACAAGCGTAAATGTATTTTTCCTGTACCTACTGGTAATTAATTAAATATATGTAGGTACATATGGTTACTTACAGTTAACAAAGTCATTGTATACAAATAACGACCTTTTTCAGAAAAGAAACTCGATTGAAGATGGCCTCTTCTCTTATGCCCGACTACAGACTACTAGTTTAACTCTAAGATCGTAAAAGATCTGTTGATGTTGATGGTGCGTATTTTTACTAGTAATGAAATGATTCACCATTTTGAATTCGATTAGTAGTAATGGGTATATAATTAACAAATTATCTGATCATCCCAGAAAGTTGATGACCTAGGTACAAACCTCTTTTGGAATTTCATAATAACAACATTTTGCACATTTTTACTGAAATTGAAATTGTGACTAGGTTTACTTTAGAGACGAATTTCTTAGCGTTACTTGGATTCACCGTGCGATACCGGGTCCATCGTGCGGCAGAGAGAACCCCGGTGTAGGTTTAAGGGACCCCTTTAACGACATACGGTCAACACTCGCCTTCACCGCTCTTTTTTCTATTGGCATATAACATTTATTACTGTATGTGTGTGTTTTAATTTTTAAAGATTAATATTCTCCATTCAGTCCTTTAAACATTAAGGTTAGTTATCAATAGAAGCATGTACTTTTTCCATGGGAATATTCTTCACTGCCAATATTATGAATTGCTTTAGGGACTCCAAATTAGCATGGCGTTTAGAGCAAGCCTCTCTTCTCTCTTAAACTGATTATAAATCATAATCGAGCCCATTATATCGGGACTAGATGACAGCCAGTCTACAGCTTTGATTAAGTTCGGAAAGTTCGTTTTATGATCTGGATGGGACTTGCTGAAAGGACCATTCTTGATAATGAAACATGATGTTGTTAAGGGACTTACCCACCTCCTCAAGAATGGTCAGTGAACGGCCAAATTTTTTTCTGTCACAAACAGAGGTTTCATTGTACCTATCAATAGCCCTTTACACAAACATTCAACTAATGCCAAGCGGGTGGAGAGAGTTTTGGCTCCATACCTACTTTGTGTAATCTAATCGCAGCGATTTTGTTTTCCATTTTAATATCACTAAAATATTTGATAAACTATTGGCGCGGAAGTCAGAAAACACAATGAACATTCATAAAAGAATGACAGATTCCAAATTCAAATGTAATATTTTGTTTATTTTTAATTGTAACAGTGTTTATGGGCAAATTGTGTAAAGGCATATGACTGTTTAATATGTTAAATTTATTAATGTAATAATATTATTAGTGTAATAATTAGGTCGACTATACTCATTTCTTAAATGACTGATTATTTTAATATCTGTTTCTGTTTATTGTTATTTGTGGTAAATGAGAATTATATAAACATGTAAATACCAAATGCATGTTTTTTTTTCTAATATGAATATTTAAAGGTGCACCCGCCGACGCTAAAGGTATTCGCTGGCAGGATGACATGAGATCATATCAGTGCCCATTGTGTCAAATTTATGAGGTATTTATCATGATGGTTTCCAGGGAAAACCGCGTGGATGTCAAACCTGACATTGTACATTGCTAGCAATGAGGTCAACAACATTACTAACAATCCCCTTCCCCCCTACCACATACATGTCTAATTGTTTATTTAATAACCAAGACCTACTATAAAAACTACAAATTCATATTAATTATTACCAAATTAAGGTTAAGTATACAACGTGTCTCCTTTTCATCAACAAGGTAGTGTGAAATAACCTGCGCTAGAATAATGAAATTATATCTTATTCCTACTGCTTACCCAGTGGAATTAAAAAGGCTGATTACTATGATGGCAAAATTTCTTGATTGATTACACAAAATCGTTACAGTAACGTAAAATCAAGATGTTATACATTATGCTAATAGGAAACATAAGCTAATTGCATACCTACCTTAATGGGTGTACGACTGGTTCGTCGAACTGCATTGAATTGGTAGGCAACATTGCATAAGTAGAACGCAAGCTGACATAACGAAGACTTCGTAATCACCTCCAGTACGGCCTTGGCCCGCTTGGTACCGCCCCGACGCGCGACGCTGACACGCTCCCTTGTAAACATTACTTAGCCAGACCACAGTGCTAGAGTCAACCGTGTGAACAAGAGTGCCTATATACATATTACACGAAGTTATTCATTTTAGGTAAACCACACATTGTAAATATCAGGCCAGTTTTTATTTTTAAAGGCAAATGTACTTGTGCTGTGTAATATAAGATGCAACCAGTGTTAGCTTACAATATAAATTTCCAAAACACACGATTATCAAGGATATAGTATGGGGCATACTTACGTATATTTATATACGTAAATTTTGTGCATAATTAAGTGTGTAGGATTGCTTTATATTAATTTTGACAGTTTGTGCTACTTAAGCCTAGTGAAGTTATTATTTTGTGCGTGTATTTGGGCATGAAGTGTTACGGTAATTGTTCACACAATATTTTTTTGTGGTATCTATCTCCAAAACTAGTGCTGCGTACGACAATGTACTAAGATTGTACTACTACAAGCATTATGGTAGGAATGTAGGTAGATATTGCAGATACATCTAATACATTGCATAAGATCTATAAATACTTAATACTCGATTAACACATCACTATACTCTACACCATCCAATATCAAAGAAAGGTTCTCCAGTTGTGACCCCGTACAGGCAAACACAGGTTGACCTCATATAGCCTTATGTATACGGCGCGATAAATCAGATCGTAGGATAGCAGTAGATTATTGAGATAGTAAATAATCTTAAGATTGTTGTGTCCTTTTAATTACTGTGTATATATATATGTACGTAATCTTCCTATGTGACTATATTGGGAAACTGTAATGCTATATAAATAAATCATATACAGGTTTATCCCACTTATTTAATATTGAAAATTTGTCTCGAGTAATTTCTCTGGCACTTTGGCCTTTATAATCACAGAGTCATGTCGATGAAGTGGCGATATTTGTATAAAAAATTCAAAGTTGTTATTGTTGAAACATAAGTACAATATTTGACGACCTTGGTTTTTAACACACCGCCTTGCATGCTTTGTATGATCGTTGGTTCGATTCTCGCAAAAATACAATCATTTATATTCATGAGTATGCAAATTATAATCTGAGTGTTCTGTATGTATATATTTTTTTTGTGGATAATAATGGAATGGTGCACCCGCCTGCGCTAACGGTTTACGCTGGCGGGGCACCAGTGGAGGATGATAAGATGAGCATGAGGTCATGTCAGTTAGCCCATCGTGACAAATTCACCAAGAATTTATCACGATGGTTTCCAGGGGGAACCACGAGGAGGTCAACCTGACATGGTACTTTGCTAGCAATGGGGTCAACAGTCCACATTACTAACAATCCCCTTCCCCCCTCTGTATGTATATTACGTATATATAGTATTTATTACAGAAAATTTTATTTATTTCTATGTATTGTACAAAAAGCCACAGTACAGTTACAGTTACAGCTTAGTTTGGGTCTAGATGTAAGTAAAATAATAATAGTAGTAAAATAACATACATTTTAAGTAGTACATATAATAAAATAATCCCAAATGTAGATTCAATCTGTCATAGCCAATTGAATTACAATAACCGTAAAAATTAATAGGTATGTAGAGCCTCTACTTTGTCTTTAACACTTTATGTTATCTACATAAAGTGTTTTTCAATTTGAGTTAGTTCAATTTCTATTGTATCAAATTGTATCTACATAAAGTACGTGCTTATTAATATTTAATCGCTTAATGTATTTATGTATATGCTTAGGTCGTTATGTATTTATATAGTCATATATATTTGCTTTAATATATTTAGTATAGTATCGTTTTATATATGTATTATAATATATAGATTTAGTAACTGTATTTAGTAATATTCTATTTGTGTATTTAGAACTCTTGTACTACCATTATCCGCTAAATATGTTGTTTTTTAGTATATAGTAAAAAAGTGTATATAAGTGCAATAAAGAATATAATAAAATTAATTAATTGAAGGTTCATTCCATACATGAAAAAACATTAATGACAAAAATTTATAGCAAGATTAGCATGCACAAAATAATTATTATTTTAACGTCACTAATCTAACGGAAATGTCTAACAACAAATAGATATAAGTAGTAACGTAAGCCTATACACTTGAATAGCACAGACATCAACATGTAACTTCAATAATATACAAAACCATACCCGAAAAAATGCGATATCAAAAAAATCGTAACGTTGTGACAGACGGACGGATAAAGTCGTGTTTTGTTTTAATTTTATGGTTTAGAACTCTAGACCGTGTCCAGTTTCAAACGAATGTTGAACGCTACCCAGGCATTATATCTATACAAAAAAAATCTTTAAAGATTAAATTATTAATATTTTATATGTAACTGAAATGGTAAACAAACTGCCGACCCACCTAATGGAAAATAGTAATCAGCGTTTATATATTTATATTAAAAGCGGCAATTTGTACATATCTATTACGTACTCTAAATACGTCGTGATAAAACTTTTCATCTAATTACTGAGCTCTATATTACCCCGCAAACGTAAATGTTAGCGGGAAGCGAATAAAAATTTCTAAAGTTCCTGTCACAGTAAGGTAAATTAAATAAAACTCGTTTTTAACTTCAAGAAATAAGGAAATCCGCAAGTATGAAACGTGTCTTTAGTAAATATAAACTTCCTAAAACGTAATAGCGAACATAATTATGTATGAGCATATGAATGTACCTGTATCGACGTATCAAAGACAATGACACTCAGACCTATGGTTTGGAAATTTTATCTGAGTAAAACCTATTCTTACCTATCAAATTTCCAAACCATAGGTCTGAGTGTCATCGTACTTCCACTTAAATTTCATAAATACTAATATAAAAATAAAATATTTACCTTTACAGATTATAGGAGAATACAAAGCACTTCATATTTCATGTGTATAACCCAAAGACCACTGGTTTCTTGGAGGTGCAACATTTTAGACTATCGATTGTGATAAAGGATCTGAAATTCTCTATTTTTACAGTATGTATTCATATTAATGGATAATGAATAGGTAGGTACCTACACATACTTGGTAGGTACCGCGAAGGTGTTATATGTACAGTTGTTGACTAAATTATCAATCAATTTAGAAAATTGAGCTGCCAATAGTCTTTAACGAGAATGGTGATGTCCCATCACAGCATCGCGTTAGCTGCGCTCGTGATCATTGCAATTATTGCGCCTCACTTCACTGCACACCCAGTAAGTAGTACATAATTAACGAGTAATAAATATTTTGCCAATTGAATGAAGCTAAAAACTTCTTTGATAACTCATCAAAGAAGTTTTTAGATGAGTTCTATGTTAGTAGTTATTGGATATAGTACCAATTGTACGTAGGTATAATACGACTTTTTAATTGATGATAATGGAAAGGATGATAAGTTGAGCATGAGGTTAGCTTAGTTAGCCTATTGGCAAATTCATAGGAATTTATCACGATGGTTTCTAGGGGGAAGCGCATTGAGGTCAATCTGACTTGGTACAATGCTAGCTATGGGGTTATTAGTCCTCGTTACTAATCTCCTTCCCTCTTGCAATGCATGATTACTGCAGCTACGTTTCCGTCGGCTTCCAGTCGAGTATTTTAAAATGAGCGCAAACGGTGCCTGCGAATTTAACAGTTAAGAGATGAGTCGTGTGCACAAAATTCCATACCTGATTTCGCAAAAACCTAACTATATCCTTTTCATTGTCGCTGATTTATATGTTATTCTATTTTTCTATACTTTCTTGAGTTATAGCACCTACTATATAGAGTATCTAAAAATATTTAGGTACTTACCTACCTTTAAGACTACGGTACCACATGGCCCACTTGGCCAAGAAAGTCCGGTGGCTTACCCACCGGGACTTATCGCATTTGATTTCGAGTCGCCATTGCTGGAACCACCAGGTCGCATTAGCTATCTACGGCGATTCCGGTGGGTTAAGTAGGTATGTAGGTGGTAGCTAGATGACATGGGTATTGAAATAAAGTCACAAAAGTATAGGTAACAAAATATACTGAATGTATCTAATCTACGTCATTTAGAACCATCGCTTTTTTTCATCAAATAATCTATACTTTTTCATTCAATATTTTCTATATATATATATATAGGTATGTACGTTTACTTATTAATCATGTTTGTATTGTAAATTAGAAGTACCTAATAAAGGTTTTAATAAATATTTTAATTGCGATTTTATTTCCTTTCAGCCGTCTGCTGACAAAGCAATAGATAAAGATCGATTATATAGACAAACAGCAGTAAAGTCAGGTAAAAATGTAGCAAACACACCAAAGTGGGGATTTTTTGGTACAATATTCCACTTAATCTTAGAGGTAAGTACATAATTTATTATCCGAAGAAAATATTACAAGAAAAGCTAAGTGAATAAAGTATACATATAGTAACATATGTAATTGTGTCCATTTAATAAAATTAGTATCTTAAACGCCTTTAATATTTAATTTAGTTATACTAGACACTTATGATATGCCAACATAATCCACCTCCTCAGACATATTTGATTTGGTATCGGTGTTATCATCACCAATGTCAGTCGAGGTTTATTATGTTTTTTTACGACCTTTAGGAGTCAGGCAGCAAACTTCTAGATCACTATACTAAAGATAGAAGTGAAACATGTCGACACATCTACTACGTAATAACCTGCCTAATACAATTCTAAATGATGCGTATTTACTGCTTTTTTAAACCATGTTACGTAATATTGTTTAAACATATGCTATATGTACCTCGGTATTCATATATGGTAATTTTATATGATTGCAGCAAATCAACGATACGAAGAGTGCTTACAATCAAATATCGGATTTAGTAAATAATCAATTTACTGACGACAATGTAAGTAACTATTCTATATCACTGTTATTCTATATCACCTTCTACATCTATAGGATCTGCAGTTGTCGCATTTTTAAAGTTTCTCATATATATAATATGAACTTCAAAGAACATTTAAAAATAACCCAAAGTAGTCGTTTAGATCTTCAATTATCTAGGAAATAATAAGACTGGAACGTATTATTATCGTCGATGATTAATGATGTTATTTACTTTTTTATGTTAGTTAAAAATAGCACAATTGTTATAACTTATCTTGAACCGACATGAGAGAGCGAGAATCCTCAAAAATTTACGTCGTACCTATATGCAAACCGGAACGGTTTGTTTGTGTATGTTTAAAGTACAAAACAGGATATGGAGGCATGAGGTGTCCTCTAACTACCTACCACGAGCATGTTGTGATGTTGATAGTGCCCTCGTATAGTCGACGGTCTGCCGCTTACCATTAGGTTGGCCACCATGACTACGATTGTACCCATCCTATAAAAATTCACATGACACTCATATTTATAGTATTGGAAGGATAATAAATATTTTATTATAGACTATAACCGTCTCACCGGATACAGTTAATGGAACTACGCAAGCACCGAAAATTTCTCGCTCTGAATTTCTGAATATACTAGAACGTAATCTAAAAGGGTTGGTTCGTCTCAGAAATCTGGAATGGCGGGAAGCCAGAAAAGTAAGTTGGTGTATGTCATTATTTATTTCATTAAATTTCAATCTGGCTGGCTATAATTTAACGTAATTTAAGAATGGTATGAATCATATGAATAAATTTTCATTGTATATATAGAAGTAATTTAATAAAAAAATATTTTCAGGATACAATGACTAATCTACGACAATACAAAGATGAGATATTTAGAGGGAAAACAAATACAAAAGAAAAAAAAAGAGAAAACTAGATTCGATATGAAGAGGTATTGATATTCCGCATGGTACGATAAATTGGAAAGTCTTAGTTAAATGTACCGAACAGCTAGCATGAAGTACATATAAAATAAATTATACAAAAAGTGGTTTGTGTTTTTTTTGTAACTCAGTGTACCCACTCATGCTAGAATACTATGTTACAATAGTGCTGGCTATAATACAAATATACTATTGGAAATATGGAAGCCTTTCATGAAGATGATACAGATAGCCCTTATTCTTTTATAGGCGTTAAAATTAGAATCTAATATAAGAAATGAATAGATATTACAAGCTCTGATATATTTAAGCGTAAAAGTAACCAAAGGAGTATATTAAATACACACCAAACTGTACCTCTTTCACCAAGAACAACAAAGCGGTGATCTGAAAAGATTTTTTTATACTAAATTGATCACGATAATAAAAAATAGTAACAAGACGTGTATTTATGCATATTGTATGTATGACAGAAAAAATTGATATAACATTTTAGTTTGTACAAAATATGTTATTTATAGTAAATTCTATATGGATATCCAATCACTAGGTACATTATATTCATTACATAAATTATACAACCAAGTTACAGATATAAGGCAGCTTTAGGATTAATTAAAAATATATTGAACAGGAATAATTGTTTATTGTTTCATTTATATTATTCATTATACATTCACTTCACTTCTTGTTCTTTGTATATCAGTTAATGTTTCGGTGCCTCTTCTTGCAAAATTATAATAAATATTATTTTCGTATCGGTTGGCTTAGTGAAACTTTTTAAAATTGTTACTACTTTCATGGAAATTTGTGTACGTACCTAATTTTACACAGTCTATCAGATGTCAGGGATGTCTATCAGAGCTAGTAGCCGTCTTTGACATTCATATAAAATATGTTGAGTCATTATTTATTAATTTAAATAGCTACTTTAAATATACCAGTACATATATGGTTTCCATTAGATAACACGTAATTTATTCCTAGAGCATTTAGTTTATGGAGTAAGGATAGAATTAATTACTGTTTATTATATAGACAGTGTGATAGTCTAATGTCTTTATATGAATCATGATAGAATCCATAGACTATAATAGACCTCAATGCGTTGAGACGTAATAAACTAGTGCATTGTGTCATTATTTCATACCGACTTATTATTTTACGACGACCGACGGGTTATTGGCAGCAATTTCTAGAAATTATCATAAAGCGTCGCTATCAGACTCTCTAATCTTTGTTATACAAGATGATACGTAGTATTTTTTTTTTAATTTGCTTGGGCATTTGCAACTTCGTTATTATCTTCCTTGGTCTGCTTTACTTGTTTTTTTGTAAATATGTGCAATATAGCCCTACAACCTGGATATAATTCATATTTAGTTCTTAGTATTCCATTCTTTGTTCTTCTTGATATAGCAGTTTGATCCAACATTATTTTTAACCCTTGTTCCGAGCTTAGGTTATCAAGTTCTGTAGCTTTAATTTTCAGATCACATCTATCTGCCCCATCAACCTATAAATTTAAAATGATTTATTAATGTAGTACAATCGACACTTAATCGTATGTCCGTGCAATAAAATTACTGTGTCTATGTTCAGAGACCTTGCGTCTCCTTGTTAACACGCTCCTTGCTATCGCGCTTGGATAGACCCAAGGAACAATGTAGGAAGCAACCTACCTGTACCTGTACATTCAACCATCCTATAATGCGGTACTCATACACCGCGGTTTCCGTTCAACAGCATACCATAAGTTCCTTCCGCGCAGCCTATGTATGACTAGTAACAATCGAAACCGATGTGAACCAAGTGAGGAAGACATATTGCCCATAACACATTAAATACCGCATGCCCACCGATGGGTCACTCCGCAACGAAAGTAAATTTATTTAAAAAATATAATACAACAAACAAATAATTGCACTAAAAATATGTTTAAAAAATAATATACGCATTTAACAATAAAAAATGTGGGTCTCTATGTGAGATTTTTCAATGCGTTCTTCAATGTTTGAAAAGAAGACGGCGACTCATATCTGACAGCGAGGATGGAGGTTGAAAGATTACCTAATTTTACAAAAGTCTTCATTGTGTTTTTTGGAAAACTTAGTTTCTTAGTCGTTTAGTTCAGTTTTCGTTTAATGTTTTTATATCATATTATGATGTGATTTGTACTAATTCTAAGTTTCCTATAGCGCGTTTTCCATACAACGGGGTGGACAGTTTCCATAGAACACGCTAAGAATTAGCTTCGTTTGTTCGGTTAAATCCAAGTTTCTTATAACTTCTGTTTCCGTATAACGCGGTACGCACTCACCGCATTATAGGAGGGTTGACTCTATTTCCAAGTGAAATTTTGCCGTAAATACATTCCGTTCTCTTCGGCTTACTCTATTATTACTACTATTAGCAAATTTTTCATTATATTTTAATTTTTTTTTGTTTCTTCATACCAATGAGCTAAAGAGAATTTTTTTATTTTGTGAAAATGTAGTTTTACAGTTACGTTTATATAGGTATATTAAAATAACCTTGTTTAAAAAATCTAGACTACTGTGAAATGTGAAACGATATCAACATTTCATACTGCTTTATCCTATAGCTACTGCTTTATCTTATATATTGTACAAAATATCAGTCCATCCGGGAGTTCCGAGTGCCATGTGCGCTCGCCCTCTAATGTCCGATGACGCTATAAAGGCCAGCAGCGGCCAACAGCATTAGAGTAGTTCGAAAAAAAAGCATGTCTAAATCCATAAGCACTTTTAACAAAGACAACAAGATGTATGGTACATTTTCCAAAAAAATTGTTTCTAGTTGTTTTTATGTAAACTTAACATACAACCAATTCGCCTCGTCACGATTTTATTATAAGTAAAAACATACGTTATAATATTATACCTACTGAATATTTAAAGCTCACCTTGCATAAAAAGGATAATTTGTAGTTATCATCAACTCTTGGCCATTTTTGTTCAAGTACATTTTTATTCCAGTTAATAACATTATTTCTTATTCCAGATTTTCTATTAGGAGCTGATATGAAGCCCGCCCAGAGTTCTGAACAGAAATGTGGCATGACTGGTGCCAACATAATAATTAGGCATGCCAATGCCTTTTCGAATTCTTCACTGTTGCTTATAAATTCACATGGTAAATTATTCTAAAAAATATTATGCACATTGTAAATATATAATTTACATACTACCTCTATTTAGCTCATTTCAAGCAACTTGCTTGCAGTTTCGGTTGAAGGGCAAGATTGAGCCTGTAACTTACAGGATATGGTGGCATAACATCTTAATCCTCCGGACTGGCAACACATGAGTTGTGGGCTGACGTCAGGAATTGCATTACAGTTAAAGCACTATGTATATAACGTCGTCATATAACATGAATATAGGCGACGGTTACCACAAAACGTTATTTGGGCCGTCTGCTTGGAAACCAATTAAATTACACAAAAAAATCTATTATCTTTGTATATACATATAATGTGCAATAATTTTTTATTGCTCACTACATATACAAAAAGAACTAAAATCTATAATTATTATCAATTCACTAAATTTTATCTATGACATTCCCATAATTTATTTTATATGTAAATTCTGAATACACACTCTTAATGTATTTGTTAAACCTTGCAATCTTGAAATGCCGACACTGAGTTTGTGGGTGTGTTGGAAATGATAAGTGCAGGTTGCAATAAAGTAATTTTTCGAGTCCCATATTTTTGATTCTAGTTTTGTATATTCTTCATCACTCAAGTTATTTTCTATGGAAGTATTATTTCGGTGTTTGAGAAAATCTCTTATGGTAATCCACAGCCGATTTTGCCAGTTTAAAACTCCTGGTAATGCTGTAATTTACAATAAACAATTATATTATTAAGTAGTAGTTCTTTGTTTTATATAAATGGAATAGTAAAGCAGTACATGGGACACCTGATGGAAAGTGGCAACGGCCATCTATGTTGAGCTAATGTAACTACAGTGGACCCGCGGTAATCCGGCCCCCCTTGTAATCCGACATTGTCTATTATTTGTTATTGAATATTACTTTGACAATATACTTCAGAGTGCATATACATACATACATATATAACATAGAATCTTATCACTGGATCTGTAATTTGTCGGATTACAAGATACTCTTTTGTAAAAAATTCTGGACTATAAGCAGAGGACCCTTAAGCAGCACTCTATAATCCGACAAATACGATGGTCCGACACTGCCCTGCAAAACGTTTGTCGGATAACCGGGGGTCCACTGTATGTATATAATATAAAGAATCATCATTGGATCTATAATTTGTCGGATTACAAGGTACCCTTATGTAAAAAAAATCGGACTATAAGGGGTCTTAGGCAGTACTCTATAATCCGACAAATTCGATAGTCCGACACTGCCCTGCAAAATTATTGTCGGACTACCGGGGGTCCACTGTATATGTTACTCACTTGCATCTGACCAATTCCTGTTTGTAGCTGGAGGAACATCTGCCAATATAAGAAGCCTAGTTGTGTCACATCCATAATTTGATAATAATCTTTCAGGATTTTCTCCATTGAACTTCGATTTACTCATTTTTTCCCATTGCATTTCTACTGGTTCTCCAGATTGTCTTTCTTTATATTCTTTTCCAATCTTTTCAACATTCTCAGGATGTAAATATTTTCCTGTTGATTTTAATTTATATGACTGCCCCATAACCATTCCTTGTACAAGAAGTTTCTTGAAGGGTTCTGCTGTTGGTGTCCATCCAAGTGAATGTAAAAAATAACTCATAAATCTAGCATAATACAAATGTAGTACGGCATGTTCTTTACCCCCGACATAAATATTAACAGGCATCTTAGTATTTATCTTTTCCTTATCAAATGGTTCCATTTCATTGTGTGAATCTAAAAATCGGTAATAATACCAAGATGAATCTACAAATGTATCCATGGTATCAGTTTCTCTTTTAGCATCACAGTGACATTTTGGACATTTACAGTTAACCCAGTCATTTAACTTAGTCAATGTTTGACTGCCATACTCTGAAGATTCAATATGTGGCAATTTAACAGGAAGTTCTGTATATGGTACAGGTACAGTACCACATTTATCACAATGTATTATTGGTATAGGTGTACCCCAATATCTTTGCCTAGATATTAGCCAATCTTTAAGATTTGAATTTACAAAATAGCCACCCACATTCTTTTTTTGTGCTATACCTATAACTTTTTGATTATCACTTTCAAAGTCTATTTCATTGTCATTTTTATTGACTGATATATTTAGGGATGTAGCTAATTTAAAATCATCTTGATTTGTTGCTGGTGAGGCTATATAGACATCTCTTCCAATTGGATAATTCACTTTGTCTGTTATGTAAATTGGTAGATCAGTACCAGTAATAGGATTGAAACAAAATAAAATATTTGTGTCTGCATCTGTCGCTTCCTGAAGTATAATGTTATTTTTACTCATTGTTAAAAATTGGCCATGCAGAAATCTATAGGGCTCATGTGTCCAAACATCAAATTTTTTAACTTTGTTTCCTATTTTTATTGTAAATGATACTACAATTCCATCACATTCTCCTATCCAGTGCTTTTGCAAATTGATAATGTCTTTCCAGTTCTCTAAGTAATCACTATCCAATCCATCATACAATTGTTTGGCATATTTTGTAGTTTTAATAAACCATTGAGTCAGAGTTTTGGATTCAACTTTTGCTCCTGATCTCCAAGAAAATCCAGAGTCATCTACTTGTTCATCAGCTAAAACTGTTTTGTCCATAGGATCCCAGTTCACTTTTGCCTGTCAACAGTACAGTAATAATTAGTTATTTTTTTGTAACCTGTACTTAATAATATTATCCAATACATTTCATTTCAAGTTATAAGATATACAAACTAATTACTTCATCTGTTTGTCATCAGGTGAGATGCCTTACAAGTAATCTTAATTATATACATAAGTATATTATTAGTAATCTTAAGTATATATAAATAAAATTGGAGTGTCTGAAGGCTTTAAATAATGGTATATAATATGATTAAAATGATGAGACACAATTAGTATGCTATAAGTATAAAAATGTGTAAGAACAAAGTTGTAAAAAAAAATTAAAATAGAATTTTATCTGAGAGAAGTATTTAAAAGTACTTATATCTTAATTATATTTTACAAATACAATAAAAAGTTTTGATAAAAATATGTGCAATTAAATGATAATTACAAAAATTGGCAATGTCAGGACTCATGATGATACAACATATAGATGTCAATATGTAAACCTATATCAATTTCTGACTAACTATTTTACCATTATGGATTAAAAATTAATTCGAGAAATATTAATATTCTTAGTGTTCTACACATTATTAACAATATACAGAGGCTCTCACTACACCTTCTGGAGTTACATTTATATTGTGAGAATGTATTATTATTATACCAACCTTACTTTGGTATGCCAGTCCCTTTTCAAATAATTTCAAAAATATGTATTGTGTCCATTTATAGTACTGAGGCTCACATGTGGATATTTCTCGACTCCAATCAAAATTTAAGCCTAATTGCAGCAGTTGTTTCCTCATTGAATTGATATTTGCATTTGTCCACTTATGAGGTGCAATATTACGTTCTATGGCTGCATTTTCAGCTGGTAAACCAAAAGCATCCCAACCAATCGGATGAATAACATTTTTACCATTCATTGCATAAAATCTAGCAATTGTATCTGATATTGAATAAACTCTTACATGTCCCATGTGCAAATTTCCAGATGGATAGGGGAACATTGGTAATATGTAATAACAATTGTGTACATCATTATTATTATTATTAAATACAATCTTAGACCAGTGTCTTTCAATTTTTAGTTTAATTTCTGTAGATATATCCTGTTGCTGTAAATATAAGTACAATTTAATATTTAGACTAAACAGAAATCCTACGTTGTGTCATGAATTTACGGACTATGAAGTTGTAACCTCACCCATAGGCATAAACTGCTTCGTTTTCTAATTGATGACTTTGTAATTGGTATTAATGTAAAACATTTTGAATTTATAACTCTTACTCTTTTAATTAAAGACATTTTAATATCAATACTGGTCTAAAGCTATATATAAATGATAGTACAGTATTTTTTTATATTAATTGAGGAGAGTTGTAAATATTTAAACATTATTTATACAAGTTATTATGTAAAGAGTTCTTATATAGCTTCTAACCGCAAAGTTTTAAGCAAATAATATATATATATATATACTACTCAATCAAGAGGTTATAGGAAATATATAGCCCAAGTTGAAATTAAAGATCAAAAATGTAAACATAGAAAAGTCATTGTCAAAGTGACATTCAATGGTATTTTTCTGTCTTGTTAAACCTTGGAGTTAAACATTTCATGATTATAGTTTAGTCAAAATTTCCATAAATACGTTTCATTATTAATTCAATATTATAATAATAATAATTAAAAATAACATTAAATTACTTTCCTGTAAGTTTGTCAACTTATGTTAACTTACCCCGAACATTAATTAATTTTGAAACATATTTTTTTTCTTATTCCTTCACTCAATCCGGGATACCTTTATTATTAAATATTATAACAGTTTGACCTCTCAAAGGTACCATTTTTATTATTCTTAACTAGTTAAGTGCTCAAAATCCAATTTCAATTAAGTGATTCCATACTTTTTTTTTTTCTTTGGCAAGAGGCTAGTGTTTCCTATTATGCCACTAAAATCAGGAAACGAGACGGGACAATGGAAAGGAACGGGTTCAATTTTGAATATACTCGGAATTAGTGATCATGGGTTTTAAAGTTTAATGTTGTTATGGGAAATAAAAGACGCAAGAGATTTATAAATTATAGGACTAGGATGAGCTAATAGGCATACAATGGATGAAGGAAAAGGAATTTCTAATGAGATGAGTGTCTCTATAAATGAAGAACGATCGTAAGAGGAGCAGGAAAACACAACATGATTTAGATCACCCACATCTTCTCGACATTCACAGATATTATTGTCTTTTATACGTAGTTTTGTTAAATGTTCAGGGCTGCAAACATGACCAATTCGCATACGAATCAAAACACTAGTTGATCTTTTATCAAGATGTAATTTGAAAACCCACGGTTTAAGAGGTATAAACGGTTGGACTAAACAGTACTGTTTCCCTTTAATTTTGCTACTTATTGTCCAATCTTGACTCCATGAGTCATGAAGACAAGATTTAGACAAGGCAGTCAGATCATAGCAAAAGTTTTTATAAGGAAAAAGATCTCCAGATAATATAGCTTCATTCGCAAGCAAATCTGGTTTTTCGTTGCCCCGAATGCCACAGTGAAAAGGAATCCAAAAGAAAGATACAATATGTCCTTTGAGACGAATGCTATTCAACATATCTCGGATATAAAAAATTAGAGAATACTGTTTAGATGATTTGAATGGACATTTAATTAGAGCTTGAAGAGCACTTTTAGAGTCCGTAAATAAAACAGTTTGCTTAAGATTAAAAATTTTAAAAAGCTTTAAAAATTCCATAGCATTCACCAGTAAAAACAGAGGTCTCTAGTGGAAATTTAATTTTCTAAATTATATGAAATTGTGAGTGATAAATTCCTACACCAACATTTCCTGTATGTGTGTTCGGATACGTCACAATAAATTTGATGATGGCTTTCCCATTTAGAGTTTACTACTTGATTAAACTTTGCATTTACATTAGGATGTTCTTTTTCTATGTTAATATCAAAATGAACGTCAGGGGTAAAAGTGTGAGGGTTTTTGGGTAAAACAGCATCTAAGTTGAATATAATTTTTATTTGATATATGTCTACAAAAGCAATCTGATAGGAATAATAGAAGACAGGAAACAAAGCAATATCGTTGACATATAACTTTCCATCGAGTGTACCGTGCCAGTACTGACACTCCTCTTCACGGTGTATGTCGTGGTTATGTTAACCCCAAGCTTCTTCTCAATGTCTCCAGTCGCGGTCCAGCTAAAGCCTTTGTTAACATGTCTGCTTCCATTTCATCAGTAAGTAGATATTTGACTACAATTGTACCGTCTTCTATACAGTCTCTGATAAAATGTAGCTTTAAATCAATGTGCTTTGACTTTGAAGTCACCATAGCATTTTGGCTAAGTTTGAGGGCGGCTTGATTGTCGTTAAAAATTGTTATGTTATTATAGTTTGTACCGAGATCTTTATATGTACCCTTTAGATGAATAGCTTCCTTCGCAGCTTCGGTCAGGGCTGTATATTCCGCCTCTGCTGTAGACAAAGCGACACTCCTTTGCTTCTTAGACATCCAGCTTATGGCTGTCCCAGCATACTTGAAACAGTAACCTGAAAAAGATTTTCTATCAATCTTACATGCGCCCCAATCTGCGTCCGCCATACCATATAAATCTTCTCCAGTTTTTCTAAAAGTTAGGCCGACGTTTTTTGTCTTTTTCAAATAACGCATTACTCTTTTAGCGCTCTTGAAATGCTCCTCTCCATAACAATCATTAAACTGGGATAAGTAGCTAATAGCAAACATGATATCGGGACGAGTAGCTACTGCCAAGTACATAAAGGAACCTATTAAATTTTTATATGGGATATTTTTCTTTTCATATTCTTCTGCCTTTTGTAGTATAAAGCCTGGCTCCATGGGTGTCGATACAGGCTTACAATCTTCCATTTTGTATGTTCTGAGAACATCTTCAATAAATCTTTCTTGGTTTAATTTTATTGTATTATTTTCATAAGTTATATCTATACCAATCAGCCGTTTCGGCTGACATAAATCTTTGAGTTCGAATTTTAAATTTAAAAGGTCTTTATTGTCTTTAACTTCTTTTAGTATAACGGGACTTGAGTAAGCGATTAATAAATCATCGACATAAATAGCAATGATTATTTTTTCTCCTCTTTTCTCCTGTATGTATAGACAGGGATCGGCATTTGATGATTTAAACCCTACATTTTTCAATTCCATGTCGAGTTTTTTATGCCATTGCCTCCCCTCTTGCTTAAGTCCATATACAGCTTTAATAAGACGACAAACTTTCCCTTTTGGTATGTTTTTTATGTCCATTAACATATTCATTGTTTTATTGTATAAAGTCAGATCATCTTTTTCACTCTCATTAACCAGTATTTCTGTCAAGTACTCTTCTAAATAGTCAGGATATTTCATTATAATATATTCTTCTATTTCACCATTTAGGTAGGCTGTGGTTACGTCCATTTGGTTTAACTTTAGACCTTGTTCCATAGCTATTCCGATAACCGATCTGATTGAACTTAATTTTGCGACGGGTGCATACGTTTCATTGTAATCAACGCCTGGTCGTTGAGTGAAGCCCCGTGCTACAAGTCTGGCTTTTCTACTAATTTTATTATCTGGCCCAATTTTATTTCTTAAAACCATTTTGTAATCTACTTCATTCATGTTCTCTTTCTTTTCCTCTATTTTCCAGGTTTCATTCTTAACATATGCTCTAATTTCAGCTTTTATCGTATCATGCCAGTATTCATCAGTTTCACTTCCATCAGTCAAATAAGAAAATTCAGAGAATAGTATACTTTCATTCGTTTCATTTAATGTGTAATCCTTGGTCCACTCCGGGGGCCGGCGGCCTCCCATTCACAGGTCTTTCTACAGTTCCTGTTGTTTCATCGTGAGAATCTACATTTTCTGTTAAATCGGTGTGATCCGGATTATTTGAACTTTGTAAATAATTTTTATTCTCTGTAAATTCAATTTCTATTTGTTGTGTATTTAAATTATTATTTTTCTTATACATGTTGTCTCTTATTTGACATTCTGTTGTAGGAGTTTGTGAAATTTGTTCGTCATCGTTCAAAAGGTTATTATAATTTTATTTTTAGTATTGATGAGTTTTAGATAATAGTTAAGAGAGCTATCATCAAGATGCGTAATAAAGGAATATGGTATCCCATCATTACCAGGAGTGGAATCCCTAACCTTAGATAGTATACTTTTCAATTCATCAAGGCTAAAGGGTAATTCATATTACTTAACTGAGGTGGATCAGGTAAACCAAAGACAGATCTTCTGAAACAAATGCAGGGGCTAGCCTGTCTAAAAATGATTCTACAAGACTGGGCATAAGAGAATTAGGTCTAGAAACATTAAAAGCATGTCTACACCGTCTTATGTTACTCCAAACTTGAGATATATTAGTGTTGGAGGAAATGGATGAGCAGAAATGTTTCCACCCTGCAATCTTTTTCTCTCTTAACAGTTTTTTAGTATTTCTTAAAATTTCAGAATATTTGTTAAAGTTATCCCATGAAGAATAAAAGTTGTATGCTTTTTCTGCCTCTTTTCTTTTTTTAATTGCCAGTGTACATTCATTATCCCACCAAGGTGGTGATGCAATCCGTCCCCTGCTATTGCCTTTTTTTGGAAAAAAAACATCTGCTGCCTCTAATAATAATGTTGCAAAGGCATCAGAACACTCATTTTCATTCCCTACTGATATTAATGGAAGTGGACATATTTTGTGTGTGATAAAATTAAGGAACATATCGCAATCAACATTACTTAAATTATACTTCATTCTTGGAGAATAATTTGTTATTGTTCTATTAAATAGAAAATGAATCAATATAGGGAAATGATCACTGCCAAAGGATAAGCTTAGTGTTTGCCAAATGAGAGTTGACGCTAAATTAGGTGTGCATATTGACAGATCTGGAGCACTAATGCCTTCATTGGGTGCTGTACGACATGTAGGTGTGCCAGTGTTTAAAATGCATAAATTGTGAATGTCTACTATGTCTAAAACCTCATTACCATAACAGTTATTGTTTGAACTACCCCAGTATTGATGTTGCGCATTAAAATCGCCTAGAATTAAAAATGGTTTAGGCAGTGTAGAAATTATGGAATTAATTTCATTGAATATTGATATGGATAGCGTGTGGTGTCGCTGTTTAGCGTGTGGTGTCGCTGTAAGAATAGCACCACCCCCTCTCTTCCCGTGGGTAAAAGGCGACTAAGGGATTCATCGACCAGTGGACGGGCAGCAGCGTCCTACTGAGTACCTACCATCATACTGCGATCGCCAACCCGCATGCCAAGCGTGGCGATTATGGCAATATCCCCCCAAATGAATTTACACCCAAGGCCCCGGCCCCCAGTCCCCGGCGGCCCCGCTAGTCTTGATCATGGTAGCGGTCATGGAAACGGCCCTGGCAACATACAACGTTCAAACACTGCGGACCGACGAAAAGTTAATTGAACTGGAGGAAGAGTTGAGCAGATTGCACTGGCATGTCGTGGGATTATCTGAAGTCCGAAGAAAGGGGGAGGACTCGATAGTCCTGAAATCGGGCAAACTGCTTTACTTCCGGGAGGGCGATCAACCATCCCAAGGCTGTGTCGGGTTCCTCCTCCACAGGTCCCTTGTGAATAATGTTATCAAGGTCGAGAGCGTGTCGACTAGGGTAGCGTACCTGATACTCAGAATTACCAAACGGTATTCATTGAAGGTCATCCAAGTGTACGCTCCAACTTCGACGCACTCCGACGATGAGGTTGAGGCTATGTATGAGGATATATCCAGAGCCATACATAGTACAAAGACTCATTATAACGTTATCATGGGGGACTTTAACGCAAAATTGGGCAAACGAAGCGGTGATGAGCTGAGAGTGGGGCAATTTGGTATCGGTGATCGGAACTTCCGAGGTCAAATGCTGGCCGACTTCATGGAGAAGGAGAACCTCTTTATTATGAACTCCTTCTTCAGGAAGCCGGAACACCGGAAATGGACGTGGATTAGTCCCGATGGTGCCACAAAAAACGAGATAGATTTCATCTTGTCAACGAGAAGACAGATTTTCAATGATGTCTCTGTGATCAATGCCGTCAAAATTGGAAGTGATCACCGGATTGTAAGAGGCACATTGAATCTGAATCTGAAACTCGAACGATCCCGACTGATGAAATCTACGCTCCGCCCTACACCTATACAGATCCAAAACCCCGAAAGCTTTCAGCTAGAATTGCAAAACCGTTTCGAAAGCCTTGGTGACTGCGTTGACGTGGACGATTACAACAACAGGTTCGTGGAAACTGTCCGTGCGGCTTGGTCTAAGCACTTCAAAACCCGCCGCGCAGAAAGAACCGGAAAAATATCTATCTCTACCCTAAAATTGATGGATGAAAGGCGAAGTATGGTCCTGCAGTCTCCAACTGACGCTTCTCAGTATCGGCAACTTAGCAGGCAGATCTCTAAGTCCTTGACTCGTGACTTACGCCACTTTAACACAACTTGTGTAAAGGAGGCTATTGAGAGAAACAAGGGCTCAAAAGTCTTTAACAGGGATCTGGCTGCCGGACAGAGCCAGCTGACGCGACTTAAGACGGATGACGGCAGGATCGTTTCGTCTAAACCCGAACTTTTGAGGGAAATTGAGAAGTTCTATGGACAGTTATACACGACAACACGGGTACCTGTTAACAACACGGTGAAAGACCCTAGAGCCAAATTAACCCGACACTATACTGAAGATATCCCGGACGTCAGCCTGTACGAGATTGGTATGGCTCTTAAACAACTTAAAAACAACAAGGCGCCGGGCGATGATGGAGTTACTGCTGAGCTTCTGAGGGCTGGAGGTAGACCTGTTCTACGAATCCTCCAGAAGCTATTCAACTCCGTCATCCTCGAGGGCAAAACGCCTCAAGCATGGCAAAGGGGTGTGGTGGTTCTATTCTTCAAGAAGGGAGACAAATCGCTTCTGAAGAATTTCAGACCCGTAACACTGCTGAGCCATGTTTATAAGTTGTTTTCGAGAGTCATCACGAATCGTCTCGCGCGCAGGTTTGACGACTTCCAGCCTCCCGAACAAGCCGGGTTCCGAAAAGGCTTCAGTACCATAGACCACATTCATACGCTGCGGCAGGTAATTCAGAAGACCGAAGAATACAACCTGCCACTTTGCTTGGCGTTTGTGGACTATGAAAAAGCCTTTGATTCGATCGAGACGTGGGCTGTGCTACAGTCTCTCCAGCGGTGCCAAATTGACTATCGATATATCGAAGCGTTGAAATGTTTGTATGAAAACGCCACTATGTCAGTTCGCCTCCACGACCAGAATTCGAAGCCTATCCAACTGCAGCGAGGTGTCAGACAAGGCGATGTTATATCGCCAAAGCTGTTTACCGCTGCGTTGGAAGATGTCTTCAAGCTTCTGGACTGGAGCGGGCTGGGCATCAACATTAACGGCGAGTACATCAATCACCTTCGATTTACCGACGATATCGTGGTCATGGCTGAGACCCTGGAAGACCTTAGCAAAATGCTCGAAGACCTCAGTAGAGTCTCACAAGGAGTAGGTCTTAAAATGAACATGGACAAGACGAAAATTATGTCAAACGTCGATGTCGTACCTGCTCCCGTAAAAATCGGAGATTCTACACTCGATCACTACGTATACTTAGGGCAAACTATCCAGCTAGGTAGATCCAATTTCGAGAAAGAGGTCAATCGTCGAATCCAACTCGGATGGGCAGCGTTCGGGAAGCTCCGATATATCTTTTCGTCCAAATTTCCGCAGTGTCTCAAGACGAAGGTTTACGACCAATGTGTGTTGCCAGTGATGACTTACGGAACAGAGACGTGGTCGCTAACTATGGGCCCCATCAATAAGCTCAGAGTCACTCAGAGGGCAATGGAGAGGGCTATGCTCGGAGTTTCTCTGCGTGATCGAATCAGAAATGAGGAGATCCGCAGAAGAACCAGAGTGACCGACATAGCCCGAAGAATTGCGACTTTGAAGTGGCAATGGGCAGGGCACATAGCTCGTAGGACAGATGGCCGTTGGGGCAGTAAAGTCCTCGAGTGGCGACCACGGACCGGAAGACGCAGCGTGGGAAGGCCTCCAGCAAGGTGGACCGACGATCTGGTCAAGATCGCTGGAAGGCATTGGATGCGAGCAGCGCAGGACCGATCGTCGTGGAGATCTTTGGGGAGGCCTATGTCCAGCAGTGGACGTGTTCCGGGCTGCGATGATGATGATGATGATTGATATGGATGGATGGATCAACTTTAACAGCAATAAGTGAGAAGTTATTACTGTGATTTAAAATAGGTATATGGCTGAATGCTGAGGGATGCCTGATTAATATGGCAACCCCACCATATCCATCAGCTCTATATTCTCGGAGACAGACATAACCAGGTATCTTAAATAAATATACCGGTTTCAGCCAAGTCTCTTGAAGAACACAGATAAAAGGTTTATAAGTATTAATTAAATAAAACAAATCAGATTTTTTTTTAGTTATACTGCGGCAGTTCCACTGGAGAACTTTGGCTTGTTTGTCCATTATTGTTGTCGTTTAAGATATTAATAAATGAATTAGTAAGTGAAGCAACGTTGGACGGTTGTAAGAAGTTACACTGGGTTAACAAATTTAAAAGAGCTATTATTATTTCAGAAATTGATTGTTTCGATTCATTTTGCTGTTTATAACCACATCCATCTGCTGGAGTAGGTGGACTGTAGTCTTTAATTAAATTAGCATATTCCTCACGATTAAAACCATATGTTGGTTTTGGTGGTTGACGAGACTTTTCTATAACTGTTTATAACTATATCAGCATATGGTTTCCTAGCAGGAGGGTGTAATTTACTGGCTTCAGCATAAGATACACAGCTTTTTGCCATTGTCTCTTTAATAGCCTTTTGTCTAGTCAGTTCTGGACATTGTTTGCTATTTGACTGGTGTCCACCTTGGCATAAACAGCAAGAAAAGTTATCTTCTTCAACAGAACAGGATTCACCAGTATGGCCCTTGCCACATTTATAGCAACGTGGTACAAATCTATATTGGTTCTTAACATGTCCATATCGACAGCAATTATAACACTGAATAGTGGGATAAATATATAAATCAACAGGTATGGAATTATAACATATAAAAACTCGTTTGGGTAGTACCTGTCCATCAAAAGTAATGACAATGGTTTCTGTCTCTATGAATTCAGATATCCCATTAACAAATGTTTTTCTCTTCAGACGTCTAACTTTTAATATTTTACCATATCTTAATGGTAGAGAAATATTTTCTATGATTTCCTCATCAGACCAGTTAACAGGGACACCCCTTATTCATCCCATTCTAGTTAAGTTAAAAGCTGGTATGAAAGCATTATAGTTATATTTCTTTAAATCTGCACTATCTAGGAAGGAATTTGCATCCTTATATTGTGAGAATGATATGGATAATCTATTCCTGCCAATTTTTTTAAGACTACCATCAACAACAACATTTTTGTAAAAGCTTTTTTTAAGATAACGGCCAAAGTCTATAGGGTGAAGTGTAGTTTAGCATCCGGTGAAGACAGAATCTTTTGAATATGAACTATGAATGGAGCAGCATCATGGGACTGGTAGTAAACTCTACTAATAGAAGTTTGTGGGCGAGTTGAATCATTATCGTGATTATTTATTAAACCAGGGTTAGAAGTTTCTTGTTTATCCACATTATTTACTAAAGATGTATTGAAGTTTCTTTCTTTTCATTAAAATCATCGCATAGACATGAATATTTATTTTTACTAGTGTCAGCACCTCGATTCCTCCTACGTTTTTTATTGCAATGCTTGCAAATATTCGCTATTGCAGATTAATGCTTACGTTTTGTACCCGAATGATCAGATAAATTAAATGAACAGTCTGTGTCCATGGAATCTTCATTATTACTTATAGTTACGTGTAGAGCGACCTCGGGGGCGGTACCCCGGGGTCCTCCAGTGGGTTCATATATAATAAAATACAGAGACTTACCTAATATTGCTGCTACTAATAAACTAATGAATAATAGATAAATGAATGTAATGAAAAATACACTATTTACAATTTATCTGATCAATATTCAAATATTAATAATTTACTACTCAAAAAATACGACCGCCAAACTTTGTGTTTCCCGCCCTTTTTTTCCAACTTGAGTTAACTCGACATCATATGCTATGACATTTATATGCTATATGTCAGTCAGTACTCAGAGTAGTATATTCTTTGGTACTCAGTCAGTACATGGTCAGTATTACTCATTACTACGACTAATAGTGCTGATATATATAAATTTTATTGTTTAAAACGATTTTAATACTTTAATTGATTTCACCGTGATGGCTAAACCGAAAACTGATGATGCTTCTGAAGATGCAAAGAAGATTGTAGATGACGCTAAAAATTTTATTGAAAAAGCGATATCAGACATTGGGAAAACTTCCGCAACAAAGCAACTAATTTTAGGCACTGCGTCAGGATGGTATGTAATGCACAATGTTCATTGTGTTTATAATTAATATTATAGCGCAAGTAATCTTGATTTTATTTTTGTTTCACATTTACAGACTGGTTTAGCATTATATACTTATGTCGGCTTTTTATTTTGAATTAAGAAATCAAGTCTCACCTTAAGGTGAGATCAGTAAACCACAGCTATTTCTCAAAATTGTTTTACTTTTTCAACAGTACATGTATTCGTCTAGAGTGATTTCATATTGCCTATGCTATCTAGATTTACTTATTTTAAATATTTTTATCACTTAATATTCATTAAGTTTTTAGGAATAATAAACAAAATAATATACATATTATTATTTGTATACTACTTTTAATAACTATTGATAGAGCATCCTTATTTGTATGTCCTTACAATGTTTGTAAATCCAGTTTCTGTTGTAGATATATTTTTCTCTTTATATATATTTTTGTAATATAATTTATTCCTTTGTTTTTTATTCCGTTATTTGTTGATTCTATACTTCATCAATTTTGTTACCATAAAAAGTAAGTTAGACCATAGTCACTATAAACCAGTTTGCATAGACAGTCTCAAATTAAAATCAAAACTAAATTATTTTCAAATTTTTATTAAATAACCTTTTCTTTTCTATGTTAAAAATTGAAAAATATTATATGTCATATTTTTAAGAAAGAGGTAATAATAGAATAGCCTTCTGAAGGAATATATTTTTATTATATGTCTATATCCTACATGCTAAATTTTTATAAAATATTTTTTTAATTAGGATAACTGGTTTCATAACTATGAAAATTGGGAAGTTTGCTGCTGTCGGTATAGGCGGAGGAGTCATATTGCTACATATAGCAAGCCAAAAAGGCTACATTGATATTAACTGGGACAAAATAAACAAGAGAGTTGATAAAATCAGTGACAAAATTGAAAAGGAAGCAACAGGGAAATCACCAGATTGGTTTGAAAAAGTAAGTACTAGTATATATACTGATTTCCACTTTAGTACATAAATTAAAATTTAAAGATGTCTGAATTACCTGACATAATTTTGCTGTAGATAATGGCATGATCTAAGAAGTACTTAATTTTTTTGTTTAACCAAAATGACTAACAAATTGATGACCAACATGAGTGTGGCCTACATAGCTAATATACCTGTTGCTATGAACAACATCACAGACACCACATTGTCTTGTGAGGCACTCCTCATATGTTGAAATTCCTGTGAATTAAGGTACTTTATACTTTGTACCGGTGAAAGATATATAACAGTTTATAAATATTTCACCGGTCAAACTGGAACACAGTTTTGATGGCTGTGTTTCAAGCTGCTATTTACCAGAAATAGCCGAGACAGAGGTACTCATACCCATGATTTTGGATAATATTGAGGCAGACTTTGTTTTTGATACCACTATGTCTATAGTTTCACACATAATTGAGTTGGTGCAATTGACTTGTATAATATTAAGGTTTACTTACTACTAACAATGCTACATTTTTGTGTAACAACTAAATAAATGAGGTAAAGGTAGAATTATTATTGTACAGTATCTTTATTTACAACAGTTAATGCATATTTTAAAAAATTAGTGAATATTTAAACATAATAACCTGTAAGCACCTATTTCAGAAGTATTTACTTGATTATGATACTGAAACTAATCATAAACTGTAAGTACAGTAAAACTGTTGATATATAGTACCTAGCAATTTGGGATAGCTTTACCAAATACTTGAACTCAATGAATTACTTTGGTAGACAGCACTGCAAATTGTTCTCAAGTTGAGTAATGACATATCATATAGGGAATGAAATATTTTCAGAGTTTGGCAATTCTTCATATAAAAGTAACTTAAAGGTTTACTTTATTTGCTAAGAAAATTTGTCAATAATACATATATCCTATGTAGAAACTAATTGAGCCAAAAATAATTCTAAACTAGTGCCAATTATTACTGTCGCCGTAATCATTGAATCACTGTTCCCAACAATAAATTGTATTTTTATCTAAATGACAATCTGTGCTATCTTAACCAAATGTTCGTGGTATTCTTCTACGGTTGGTATTCATTGTATAAATCAGCATAATTTAGCTTTCCTCAATAATGTGAGTCACGTCATATATGCCTATTTACGTTGTTGTCATTTAAGCAGCTTTAATTATTAATTTCAACCCATCTAAGATATTACATATAATAATATCTTTTTCTGCTTTTTATTTTGTAAAATGCAATATATATTTTTTAATTTATGCACTACCATGCTATGAACTGAGTAGTACCTACCTGTACTCGTATTTTAATTATCGAAAACACATATTCACCAAGGTAAACAGTATGTATATTTAGACAATACAATAAAGACATAAAATATACCTACTACACCCACAAATTTCAGATTACTCGGTTTTTCTTTTTCACGTCTACACTCTTTTTCTTCTTCACTCTTTTTCTACCCTATTAGCAATTATATCTTTAAATCAAATATTATACCAAATCTTAATTTATTTTATTGTGGATGATACGAACTGAATCTCTATTAAATACTGATGCAAATTCTTAATCATTAAGTTCTCTATTAAAAAGACGCTAGAAGACTAGATATCGAAACATTTATTCTATTGATATTCATAAAAGAAATTCAAATCCGAACTTGATTTGTTAGGCTAAATTACTTGAAATTGCGATGTCTCCGTGGAAAATTACTTATATTTTTGTGGTCACACTAAAATGGTTAGGGATAATTAAAAAAGTCCGAGTTACATTTATTCATGTTTCCATTTAATATTATTTATTTTGTTGCAGGTGTTATCATTTGTCAAAACCAATTCATATTATTCAGCAGGGTTCACAGGAGGATTATTTTTTGGCATTGCTTCTTCTTAAATTACAAATTTAATTTAAGTATACACATTGGAATAGTAATTGTTAGTAAACATTTCATAACGACAATTTGTCTCATTACGTTATACGGACCAGATGATTAATAAGTGCATAATTATCTAATGATGCTCGGAGTCACGCATAGTGCAAAAATATAGGCAAGTCAAGAAGGGCTATTTTTCATATTTTGAGGGTCTGATTATTATGAATGTTGACTCACAATTGTTGCTCAAATTTATTGATTGGAGACTAAGGTCCTCTGATTCACTATTTGAACAATTCACATTCTAAGGATAGCTAATCCACAACTAATAATAAATATGTAGTCCTTGAAATGAACTGGAAAACTCTTGGGACCTACCGAAATCCACGGGTCTACCGTGGATGAGTATGATGGAGATCGGGTAACAACGTTTTATGCAACTATTATGCATATACACCACTTGGAAGAAATTCTCATAATAAGATAACATTTAAATAATTAATGTAGGTATTTTTGAAAAGGTCTTCAATTGTGAATAGTGATTATCAATAATTGAGTCCATAACCTGTAGTACACAAAGACAACATTTAGCGCCAAACTAATTTTCTTTTGTAAATTGTAGCTCTGTAAAAAGTAAAGTGGTGCTGGACATTTTATGTTGACGATAGTACAAACATTTGTAACAAAAGTAGTTTTGAAAATCCATGGTGCATTAGGAAAATGTAAATGGGCACGCCCTACATAAATATAATATGGCGTGTCATATGTCAAAAAATGGCTAGATATTTAATTAAAAATAAATAAATAGGTTACTATTGCGGTTATAAAGCTTTTAGTTTCGAGTACCATAACCAATAGCATAAAAACAAGTAGTTTTCATCAGTTGTTTTTTTAAATTTTGTCATAAAGTAATGCTGTTACATTATATTCTTGTTTATTAAAATGGTTGTTATTTATATTCTCATTTTATATCGTACTTGTATTTATAGATGATATTAGAGATCTAAAACGGAATTACATTTTTTATTTTCCTTTCTAAAACTATATCAATTGCCATATCGACAAAGGTATGTTCCTGACGCTCCTTTTATGGTGCAACCTAGAGTTCAGTTGGAAATTGGATCTAAATATACTCTAATGTCTAATGACTAACTTTGCACATTGAATCCAATCGTCTATTCAGCTTGAAGTAAAATTTAATGTAGTTGCCCTTCACTGGTTACTACATCATAATTTAGCTATATAAATAAAAATCAAATGCCGATTGTATATAAGACCATCATATTCGGCTGTACATATTTTTTGTTGAAAATTACCACGACAATTTTTGTATGAAAGAAAATCTTGAAAAATGTAGGGAAAAAGAAAATAAATTAACCTACCACACTTACCATAATCACACAACTATTTATATGTTATGTTATATGTTAACACCTATGTGTTAACATATAACACTAATGTTAGTTGTAGATACTTATATGATATTATCTATCTTCTATAGGATTTCAAACTAAATAAATATTGACATATTTATAATAATATTAATAAAACTGGACAATCCACACAGTGCTATGTAGTCCCAAGCTAATAAGAGCTTGTTATGAGTACTAGACAACTAATATAAATATCATTTTTTAAATACATACATAATATACAATACATAGAAAACACCCTAACTCATAAAACAATCGTATTCATAAATACAAATGTTTGTACCTTGCGAGGAACCGAATGCGCGACCATCTGAAGTAAGACGATATCACTAAGGCCGTTGACAACGTTGACGATTTGACAAATATACTGTTTATAGTAAGCTAAGTCCGGGATATAACCCGCGTGAAATTTGTAGCCTGTTTTATTCTGACGTATGATATATGACTGTAAACTTTCATCAAAATCCGTTCAATAGTGTTTGAGTGTGAAAGAGTAACAAACATCCAGTCATCTTTGCCATTTATAATATTAATAATAAGATTACAGAAGTAAAAACAGTTATTTCCATACTAATATTAGAAATGCGAAAGTATGTATGACTGTCTGCTATCTTTTTACGTCTGAACGGATCTTAACGAATTTTGGTGTACCTAAAGGTAGACGGTATCTCAAATTCATCAGGCGAAGTCGCTGGACTAATAAAGTGTAGCTACCTCAAGTATAAAAAACGTATAAAGGTGTTACCTAGTTTACAAATTAATATAATGTGTAATAATTTATATGAATAAATTGTTATAGGTAGAACGATTCGTGGATCGAAAAATGGATAAAGCTGAAAATTTACTGAAGAAAAAAGAAGTGAAAGCAAAACGTTGGTATAATAATTTCACAGGAGATGATCATTATCGTGCGACCGAAACACACGTTTTTCTAGCATCTTTTATGGCAGGCATGGCTGTTGGTCTAGTCTGTGGCAAATAAAAAAATGTGTCTATTTCTATTTTTCTTAAGTAGAATATGTTACACCATTTTAAATCCTCTTTAGCGCTAAACGTTATAGGTCCTATTAATTTGATACATCTTAACTATACAACAACAATTTATTAGGATGCATATGAATATATGTATAAATAATTATTATTTAGTTATACAGTGTGATTAACAAACGTGCAATGTTTATATTTTAGATTAATAAGTACACGTTTTAAATATTGTGTAATAAAAATAATTAATTTGTACTCTGTTATATTAAAATAATGTAATCGCAGTATTATTTAATTCGAAATACTAAGTCATTAATTTTTCTAGATGTTTATTGTACACTAGATATTTTCTGCGGCTTCACTCGAAATAAGGTAATACACAAATTACCCTAACTTATTTAAAACGACTCGAAATGTTTAATTTATAATATCTATAAATAATTTCTTAATATATAATGTTAATAAATAAATATTTTTATTGTACACCGGCTTCACCTGCCGATATCTTCCGTTCCTGTAATAATTACGGTATCAGATGTCTAATCGGTACGTGATTACATATAGCTACCTCCCTATACAATTTAATTTAAGATCTTGACAAAACTACGATAAAATTACTTATTTATAGTTGAGGTATTAAGATGTAATCATCCTATGAAGGGGTTCATGGAATAAGTGCATTTTAATACCTATATTACATGGATTTTAATAAACAGATGGCAATATTTGTTTTACATTATGATCTTGTTAAAAAATATCAATGTATCCTACTATAATTATATGTCGAAACTACAAACGACAATAAAGAAATGATGATGATCATACTATTTTATTACGATATTATGCCTTTTTCAATAACAACAGGTATATAATCGGCTACAGCACAATACTATAGTCACGGTCGTAGTATTCCATTTTTTTTATTAGTTACTTTATAATTCTTGTAGTGGTACTGTTTTTTTTTTTCAAACTATAAAGCTGTTATCGCAACTGGACTTTACAACTTTATCGAACGATTGGGAGCGAGTGCAGATGGCATTCCAAACCCGCAGACTTATGGAGTAGGAGAAGGCCATACCACATTAGTATGAAGTCACCGCTAGAAGTTCAAGCCTCGGCTCAGGCCGTTGAAAGTTTTAATCCAGGGATTTGTCGATTTGAACGTAGTATTCTATCGATCGAAGGGGTGACCTGGGGCGTCTGTGTGGAGCGATCATACTCGCGCTGGATGGTATGGTCGAGGTCGTCTTTGCCGTCGACAACGATATCGTGTTTGCATGATAACGTGGTAGGTACGGAAGTGGTGGAGTGCACATGTAGGAAAATTTGTTGCCGGTCTGGGGTCGCCGAGATCAAGATAAGAACGTCCCTCAGGCGGCGTAAGACTATCCTTCATGAAGTTTTGATGGTGGGCAACCCCGAACCGCGCTAGTGACGAAGACGTTCGTTAATTGGCTATACTAAAAAATTCTTCAGAAATTAACATTCAAATTATTCTAGCAGTGACATTGTGGAGGTCGACATGATGGCGTTATTGCTGTCAGTGGTACTAAAATCTCCACTCCAGAGACACGGGGGTTGGTACCTCCGGAGATGCAGGCCGTTCGCCCCGAGGCTTCTTTACGAATATAAATATACATATATATATATATATATATTCTTTAATGTATATATACATTAGAGAAGATATATACATCTATACATATAAATAAAATTGGAGTGTCTGTTTGTAATATTTAAATAACCGTTTTTTACTACATGCATATGAATATAAATACGGTACATACACCAAAATAATTTGTTTTACAATTTTTTAGAGTCCGACTGAAACTGAAACCGAAACTCACGTGATCAAGTATAAAATTCCTTAAAATACCGAAATTTGGTGCATTTTACCCATTATTCTGCATTAATTAAGGCGTTAAATGGAAACGCCGTAGGTGTATTAAGTTTGTTGTAATCATTTATTTTATTTTTTATTTAATATAATACCTATAAAAAAAAATTTTTTTTTTAAACCTTTCACATAAGGCAGTATGTCCACTATTATGAGATCCATTATAGTTTTATCAATCCTTTTTGTAATTTGATGATTATCAGGCCACAGTACAACTTTAGGTTTAGAGGTCAAAATGATCAGAAGTTAGACGGCGTACACGACAACTTCAATTTTATAAAAATAATGTTAAACTCCACGCGGACATAGTCGCGTGTACAGCTAGTTAAAAATAAAATTGTATTCAAATTATTTTTTTCCATTCTATTAACTCAAATTATTTTTAACATTACAATATTGTTCTAAAATATTGATTTTATGTCAATTTTATATGAACTGCTATGTCACAACTTAACAATAGATTGTCAGATTTTGTAGCTATGAATGTACTAATGTGGCATCGGAACATTTACATGATTCCATACAAGTAGATGAGATTAATAATTAAAAGGTTGTGTCATAAACATTGGAGCCAAAGAGGGCCATCCACTTCATTTACGGTATGGGTTCCAGTATCAAATATTTTCACCGTTGCTTCTCAATACATCTACGAAAATATCATGTATGCCAGGAAAAACATTGACAGTTTAGTTATTACACTAATAAAAGCTTACGTAATATCAACAAACTAGTTTTACCTAAGTGCCGTTTGACGAAAGTACATATACTTAAAATGAATGACTAAAATTTTTGATGGAAATTGCGTAAGGTTTTGCGTACAGACCTGCCAGAGTCTGTACTCAATTTTCCAGAAAAATTCAAATGTCTTATAAAATATTATATTTTTAAAAAGCTTATTATAAAATTGAACAATTTATAGATATTTTCTACAAAAACATTATCAGTTTTTGTAGAAAATATCTAACTTAAAATTCATAGCGCTGACAATGTTTTCTGATTGAACAGAGATTAAGTGCGTAGCGGTTTCTATGTTAATTGTCGCATGTCTAATCCTTGTTAATGTAAATATAACTAAAACAATATTTATATAAAAGAGCAACACATAAGCTTCTTGTGATAAGTCTGCATTCCGAATGAGCGATAGAATAAAAAGACTTGACTATTCAAAAGTGCTTATATTAATTTTATTTGAAAAAAGCTTATTTCTATTTCTTTAGTCATCAAGAAATATTATTTACATAGTAATTAAACAATTCTTTGGAAGGTAAACTTTCTAAATATGCCTTGAAATCTGATATGTATTTTTTTTTCAATAAAGATACAGCTCTCCTATAACGGTTTTTCTCGGTCCTGGTAAGTTGAGACCACGATAAGTCTCTGTTTCTATTTTGTTCTTGAATCATTTCAAATAATTCTTTTGAATGGCTGTAAAAAAAGCAATTATTGTTAATTTATGGTCTTGCTAGAGAAAAATCTTGATTTTCTAAACAAAAGGTATCATGCACTATATTACCATGTACTATAGGTACCATGTAATACGTCATTAATAATAAGGTACTAAGGACTCTTAAATTCTCATAGTTTAATATTAGGGCTTTTTTTTTATTCCCATTCATTCATTATGATTGACCCATAAACTTTTTTGAGTCAGTTTCGTCAACAGATTAATGGGCAGAATATCTATTTATTTATAAATAACAACTATATTAATTTGGGTCAATTGTGAAGAACTTTTTAGGTAATGAGAGTACAGGCAGAAATTTCCTTGTATGTTCACTGACTTCAAAATTAATATTAATGCATTATATGCTAATATTTTTGCTTACCTCACAATTGGAGGCATAGGTTCAATCAATATAGGCTCGGAATGTGTCGGTTGGTTGTCGCTGTTGACTTCTTTATTACAATGAACAGGAATTTCGTTTCTGAAACAAGTGAATTTTCATTACAATGAAAGGTTTACACTTAAGCAAAATATCAGAATCTACATATACCCGAAAATAATATGTACTAATCTTTGAAAGTGCAGTATTTAGTCTAGTTGTGGTAGCAATGCACTCTAGTGCTGACTACAAATGTTTTAAATAGATTTTAATTAAAAATTATACTTACAAAGAATGTGATGACATTTCTCTAGCAATATTATCAGTTTCATGAAGTGTATTATTAATTGATAAATCATCTTGGTGATCTATGTCTGAAATTCTGAAATATAATAAATAAATTCAGTTTAAGAATAACAAGCAGTGAACAACTGCTTGGGTATTTTATTTCATAATACCATTTTGACTTTATTACTATGTAAAGCAAAAATCTTGTACATAGTAAATTGATAACAATATCTAGTATTGTGTAAAAGCTATACAAATTTAAGTCCATGGACTGATATTACTAGGTAAAGAGACTAGACAGAAATTACTCTCTTGACAAGCTTTAAAATTATAATTATATAATTGTAGCAGATTAATTATTTTTCACCTAACGTTTGGAGCCACAGGCTCGAAATGTGTCTGTTGGATGTTGTTTTGCAGTTCTTCAATAGAATTTGACAAAACAGGAATATCATTTCTGAAACAAGTGGAGTTTAATTACAATTCATGAAGTCACTTAAGCCTCAAAACAAGTTGCACAAAATATTGGAATATGCATATCCTAGAAAATATTACACACTAATTTTTCACAGTCTAGTTAACCTAAAGTTGAGGTAGCAATGCACTCTAGTGATAACTATAAATATTATAAGTAGATTTTATTTAAAAATTATACTTACAAAGAATCTGAGGATAGTTGCCTGGCCATATTATTACTTTCATGAACTCTATTTTTCAAATCACCTTGATGATCCAAGTCTGAAGTACTGAAACATAAAATAAATAAAAATATTATATACTACCAGGTATTTATTACACTTCTGTCCATGCCTGAGTATCAAAAACAAAGATTTGGCAGGTAGATAAGATTATTACCAACTATAAATATATTATATAGTATGTCAGTATGTCCTGTTGTGTATAAGTATCAATGGAATCTTGAAAACATTGAAAATTAAAATGACTTATGGTTTAATAATGGTCAATGACAACCACTACTATAAATTCAATTACTGATATAATATTTGATGTTCAAATCAACTCCCTCATCATATTTTTATTAGTATAATAACCTTAGAGTAACCTTAGAGTGTTATTATTACTTTATTTTATAAAAATTCAAATATATTTTCATTACATAATAATTATTAACTGCTAAAATAAAAAAAATAAAGAACATTTATTAACTGTAAAATACCTTTTCTGTTTTTTCTTTAGATAGGGTTGTGTTTGTTTTAAATAATTTGCTAATTTATCCCTCTGTTTCTTTCTGCATTCATTATATTTATTTACAAATTGCAATTTTTCTTCATCACTTAGTGTAGTCCAAGACTTTGTTGCTTCCAGAACAATTTTATCACCCTTAAAACATAGTATAAATAATCCATCAGTTTTTATAGGCTTATTATTGGATAGGAATGTAAAATATATAGAATATATGATTAAATATATTCTATATGAATTTGTGATTGCACACTGCAATTTATTCTTTTATTTAAGAATATATTTAATGAATATTGTTTCCACATAATATTTCCAAAATTTGCCAAGGCAGACTTTGAAAAAAGTAGTTTACATGAGACCACCTCAGTAGCACTTTTATCACTTTTTCAACCATGAATCATTTTGCTTTGTCTTGACATCAGGCTAAATTGAATAAAACATAACAATTTGGATTACTTTTTCATATGGATCATAATGGAATGATCTATTTCACTATACACTGAGACCATCAATAAAGACAAACAATGCTCATCATGGCAAATTGATCAGAAATTAATAACGATGGTCTCCAGGGGGAAACGCGTGAAGGTAACCCAATAACATCTTAATTGTACTGGGCATAACATGTAAACTTGATGCCTATGGTGCTATTCCTATATATAGGTAACAGTTAGCACTTATCACCAGCCCAGCCGCTAGTTCGCATGGCATTCTAATTATAATTAAAATAACATATTTTCTAGGAAAGGATGTTTTGTATGTAGTATTTTTAAATATGTGCATATACAGTAATGATACTCGCTGCTTATTAATGTTACAGTTTATGTCGAAAAAATTACTTACCATTTGTGTCGTTTGTAACACATCTTTTCTTTTACAATACAGTCGTATATAAAATTGTAATGGAGATTCTGGGTCACTTTCTTTACTTCTGAATCCCATGGCTGACATGATTAATAATTAAATAGGATGGGTAGAATTCGCAAAAATGTAGATCAAAGAATACATTGTAATGGTAGGTATGGTAATTTAAAAGTTTAATAACATAATTACAGATTATATAGAGTTATATCGGTAGCAGCTAATCAGACATAGAGATGTGTCAACTCGAGTTGAGCTAAATTTGAGTTAACTCAACCGGTAAATGAACGAATTAAATGAGAGAGCGAAATTCGTAATTCGTATCATTACTATATTCAATCGAAATGTCGAGTCTTAGAAGGAAATCTATTGTTTGGGACGTTTTCGAATCGCCAGTGATTGGACGTGTAAAATGTAATAAATGGTCCCATTCATCTTAAGTATATAGGAAATACGGACTCGTTACTGAAAAATATAAAAAAAAAGCACTCAGATAGGAGGAGTTGACCAACAGCCATGCATGCGCTCCATAAGTCGTTCCGCGGGTTTAGATTGCCATTTCAAATGGTAATACTATATATATCATAAATACCATACTATATATATATAATAAATACCATTAAACATTTTATTATAATAAAAATGAAACGAAGAGCATCCCAACAAAATGGCAACTTTATTGTCTCAAAAACTAAAATATAAATAAAATAAAAAAATTGCTATAAATGTCCAGTGCTATTTTACATTCGACTAATTTTAAAATAAAATACTGAAAACGACAATTAAAAAACTAAACGAGTACCTTGTAGTCTCAAAAACTGAAATATAAAACAGCTTAAAGTTTAAAAAAAATACGAAAAATAATTATTTGCACTAATTTTCAGTCTCGTTTTACGTAAGAGTAATATTAAAATAAAATGAAATGATAAGTGAATACTCTTATGACAATCGATTAAAACCCGTAATTTATAAAATCGATTATTACTATGAAAATTGATTATTTGAAAACAAATAATCGATTTAAATAAAAATCGATTGTTCTTTAATATCCCTGACTTGAGTTGACACATTTCTATAGTCATATTTTTAATTAGACGAAGTCAACTGACGTTTACTGTGTTGTCAGTATTTGATGAAATAAAAATAGTGTTTGACAAAGTGAATCATTGAAAAAATGAATTAAAATTGCCTCGATAGTGAAATTATGTGCCGAACTAATTTTCAGTTTAGCCGTGCTTTATACATACCAACGAGTTTATATTATGTTCCTATTGTATCTACCTATACTGAAATATTTTAAATAAAGAAAAAAGTGAACTTTTAAGACTGTCCTAATTACAATTCATAATGTAATTGAAACTATAGATGTACAAAATATAACAATATATAACATAATATAGTTAGGTAATAAAAATAAAAAACTGCGCTTATTACAAAATTTGTTTTTATTCATCATCAGATAAAAAAATCATTGTCGCTTTCAGTGACATTAATTATAAATCTGTCTAAAAATTGATAATAATTTATCTTTGAAACAGTGTTTCGCTCCACGTTTCTCCGGAGACTTAAATTGTTCACTTTGTATTATTTTAATAAATTGTAGACTGAGGTCACACCAATTCCCAAAATGTCAGCTGTTTTCGAAATACATTTGTTTTTTTGGGAGCCTCAATAGGTTGCAGCTTTCTCAAATACGTATTTGTAGACGTTTTGCATCATCAGTTTTTCGGTAACGTCTTTCTTGGAGACAAGCTTTGGCTTGACGTGCTTGATTGAGGATCCATATTGTTTGTATGAAACAATATAGTAAATATACAATATACCCAACAATTACCACAAACACAACATGAGGAAAAACTTAATAAAACAGCGTGAGCGCAAAAAAACATTGGTGCTCTCAGACCAGAGGTTAGAAGCCGAATTACGAACAAAATGGCGACAGACGCTCGCGACGTTGATTTGTGTTGGCACTTAGCCGCGCGCTTTGTAATAAGCCGTCAAAAAACTGATTGTAGTTACTAGTAACTTATATAAAGCACTTTTATACAATTTTCTTTTGTAGTTTGTAATGATTAACTATTCACACTCATTGTTCATTCATCTAACTGAGAACTGAACGCATCACTATTACTTTAAATATGGCAACATTATTTTACAATGTGACATTAGCTACTGTGCTAGCTTCGTCTAATTAAAAATACGACTATACTTGTCATGTATTTAATTTAGTAAATAGAATTTCTTGTAATGTATATTATTTAATCCTAATTGATATTACAGAATAATAGAAACAAAATGCCAAAAAACAAAACGTAAGAAAAGAGTATTTCTTCCTACTTTCTTTGCCGAAAGATTTAATTTAAATCCAGGAGCTAGATTTAAAAGGGATTAAAATAATTTTAATCCCTTTTATGACATACATTACTGTTTATTTTAGATACGGATTGATTTTACCAGAGAAGCAAAGAAAACAGCCTGTGTTTCAAGCTACACGTAATGTTTTTGGAGGTGATTCTGAATCCGACGAAGAAACTAATAAGAAACTTGCACTGTTACGGCCAAGTCACAACGTTAACAGACAGGTGCTTAACTTAATTTTTTATGCTTTTGAAATGGCTCTCAATAACGTCCACTGATGATAACCGGTGTAGGTTATTACTGATATGTAGGTTATGACAGAAATTATGATGATTCATTCAAACAACTCACTCATTGCCATTCTAGAGAAATAAGACATATCTTGTAATATCACTGCCTTTCTTCACCCTACAATTGAAGCAGATCCTAAGTCTACCAATTCACTTATTATGCGGCAAGCAAATGGCTCAGACTGTCTTCAGTCAGACCATCATGTAATTCATCTGTAAAGTGCTCTCATAACTTTATTTCAGAAAGCAGTGTATTAATTATAAATTGATTACCATTTCTTATAGATGTTTTCAAAACTTGGAGTTTATTAAAAATATTTTCAGTTTTTAAACCATGAGGTTTTAGATGTGTTGTTTGAAAACCTTAACAGAGAGTTAATTCTATAATACCAGTAGCATATATGAAGTAAGTATAGTTATGTAAAACAATGCTGTATATAGTTTTTACATATTACATGATGAAACTCCTTATGAATAGATAAATTTATTATTTATTTAGTATCCTCATTCTCTATACAGGCAATAAATAGTAGTATAAAACACTACTGTGTTTTATATGTGTACAGTACATGTAGTTGTACTCAACTACATGTACTATACACATTTAAATAAAAAGTGTGTTACCTACATAAAAATTTAATCATTATTCATAGGCGAAAATTGCACAAGAAAATGCAATTAAAGAAGATCCAACTGTCTACCAGTACGATGAGGTATATGATTCTATGTCAAATCAGAAAGAAGAGAAAAAAGCAAAAGTGAAAGAAGACAAGAAGCCACGTTATATAGAAAACTTAATGAAGTCAGCTAATAAAAGAAAAATTGAGAATGAGAGACGTATTGAGAGACAGGTTTGACATTGAAACAATTTATAATATAAATATGTTATATCTCATCATATTAAATTTAGTTTATATCTTCTAACTATAATCTGTCAATTTTAAATATAAAATAATTGTATATATTTACAACTAATTACTTTGAGCAGACTAAGTAAATTGTAGAACATGTTCCACAAAAATCTAGTAATCGAAATTTTACATCTATGTTATGATTTGATTTCGATTTTGAACCAAATGTTTTGTACCTTTTTACTATCAACTATCAAAATAAACTTTTTACTATCAAATACAATTCTATATTTATACCTTAATGTAATTCATATTGCAAGCTTATTTTGTTTACAGATATGATCATATGAGAAAGTAAAAAAGACTTAGATATCATTTATTTATTTTAGATTCAAAAAGAAAGGGAAATGGAGGGAGATGAGTTTGCAGATAAAGAAGTATTTGTGACATCAGCATATAAAAAGAAACTAGAAGAATTAACATTAGAAGAAGAAAGAGAAAAACATGAGGAGTATCTAGAAAGTATAGGAGATGTAACCAAACAAAAAGATTTAGGTATTTTGTATGAAAATAAATTTTAAGTTTCTCTTTTAAATTAATATGTTTACATATTTATGTATCTTTTTTGTTTATAGGTGGATTTTATCGACATTTGTATGAACAAAAATTAGGTAATGGCAAATCTTTAGAAAATGATCAATCAAATAAACATATAGAATCTTCAAATGTAACCCAGAAAAATCCATTACTAGATAACTCAAAATCTGATCTATCAGAAATATCAAGAAAGAGAAATTATAGGAAACGAAGATCATCATCAGATAATATGATACAGCTTTCAGAAGGTGAAATTGATGATTCAGGGGACGAAATAAATCGACTCAATCTCAATGACATCAGAATGGCGAAAAAGTCTAAGAAGAATGAAGAGAATGTAGATGCTGATTCAGATTTTTCAATAGATGAATCAAGTGATGAAGAAAAACGCAATAATGAAATTAAAACACAAAATAATATTGTTTCTGAAGAGGCTTTTAAAAAGCCAATCAAACAAAAGAGTGATGATCAGATTGAAGTTAAGGCAGAGACTAAAAGCTTAGAAAAATCTAATACAAGTGATATCTCTCAAGAAAAAAATAAACCTAAAATTGATATTTGGAAGAAAAGAACAGTTGGAGAAGTGTTTGAACAAGCATTGAAAAGGTATTATGAAAGAAAAGCTTCCAGAGGCTTTTAATAAGTTTAAAATATGATAAAATCAAAATACCTCGTATTTTGGCTACACACGGCAGAGCAGATGTATATAGTACTTGTGCTATGTGAATAGTGCAGGTAGCATATCTCCAAGAATGTTGAAAGTATAATATAATACTTCTTTGTCAAAAAAAATGAGCCAATCACTGTCTTTATCCTATTTTTGTTCTCTCATTAAGGGAAATATGTTAAAACATATTTCTTCTAATAAGAGGACAAAGATAGGACAGGATATCATAAATTGCAATTTCTTATAAAATATTTGTGAACTATATAAATACTATTACTTGATAAAATAAAAGACTACAGCTGAATAATTTTTATATATTAATACACTCATAATTAAAAATAGAATACCCCATATCGAGTGAAGTAAGTTCTTTGTGGTGGTCCATTTACTACATATTAAGTGAAGCCGTAAAATCATAATCAAATAAATCATAAATTTATGCACACATTGGCACTTTTAAAATAAATTTTATAGCTAATTTCCATGTGGTCTCTACTAACTCGGTAGTCTAGCAGTTTAATAATCCATTAGTCGATTCTTCACACAATACAAACATGACTAGATGGCGCCGCGTGAATTAATAAAAAGTATATGCGTAAGCGTTTCGTCAAATAAAATAATATTTTAATATTAATCAAATACATGTATCTATTATGCCATTTTATAAAAATGTCTACTATTTTTACTTCTACCTCTATAGAACACAGCTTCACTTTTTTAATATGTAGTGTTTTGCTGAGACAGCTACAAACTATAATTCGAGACTTATTCATTTATATAAACTGTAGAATTATTAAACCACCACATAATGCGCCTTGCAGTGAACTGAAACAAAAATAATGTTTTTGACTAACAATAGACAATAAATGCAAGGCAATATTGACGATTAAATCAGAGCTACAGGGCATTAGACTTGTTGCTGACTTAGTAATGAGCCGTATTGAAGCGTTTATATAATATTACTTTGTTATTTCCAATATAAATTATACCTATAAATTCGGAAACCGGATCGTTTTCGCCTTCGGCTCTCATTGTGCCTGTGATTTCTTCGTTTTCAACCATCGGTAATACAAGTTGCACAAATTCTGGGGTATATGGTGGAGCTATTGCATCTAGAACCTGTATGAATATATATTATAATATGTACAACAAAGAATTAAGACATCAGTTTATTGGAACTAGTGACTGTAAACATCCCTGAATGATATATGTTTACCAGTTATTGTTGTATAAAATATACTAATGGACCGACGATTATCTTTCTAAATAAACAAAAAAACTCGAAATCAGTTCGTAAAACCCACAAATTGAACATATCCTAGTTTTTAAAATTTAATTAAACTATACATGTATTTCCATCATAAATACAATAAATAAAAATTACAATTAGAAGGTATTATTGGATTGGATTAAAATAAATTATTGCCACATTATTAGTTACCACAATATGGTAGTCAGGATGATATTCCTCCTTAAGATAATTTCGTCCATGTACATAGTTATATTCCTTAATATATCATAGAGATAGAGATGAATAACATAGTATGAATAAAGTAAAATTGTTTTAAGCACGAACCTCAGTGATGAAATATCTTATTAGGGAAATATCTGTATCCCCACGTTGCCAACACTGCTTGATGTACCGTAATACAGGTACTACACAACCGCGGCTTAGTAAATTTACCATGCGGTCAAGCAACATTTTTTTTAATTCCAACTGAAATAAAGTAATTCAAGGTCAATGATTATTTTGTATTATAATGAATATTCTCATTGTTTGATGTTCAGCATACCTGCACTAGAATTTCTAATTCATCTTGCGGTGATTCAAATAACTGCACAAGTAACTTCAATAGTCTATGGTGAAGCAATTGATGGCATGAAGCTACTTCGTCTAACAATGCTAAATGAACTGGACAGTGCTCAGTGCATAACTTGAAATAGGAAGGCTCTGTTACAACACATTCGACCCACACTAAAACACCCATACCAACAACAGGAAATCTAAAATACAAAATTAAACAAATGTTTACTGTTTTAATATTGTCATAACATAAAATAAAAAGTATGTAGCTCTGCATGAGATTTTAGTTAAAATTTTTACAAATTTAAACGAAAATTAATATTAGTAGGTGGAGGTAAAAAAATGCTTCTGTATACACACACTTTTTTTAGAAAATTTGATCACTAAAATTATCAATATTGAGTTATTCAGTTTTTTTCAAATAATCGTATTTTGTGCTTTTTCCCTGCGTTTATATAAATATGCCGCACAAGAAGTTTCGAGGCTTTGTATTTAATGACTAACTGAGATGCAAGCTGGATGCGACTGTGCATAATAAGCTGAATGCACTTGATGTCCCAGTGCTTGGCAAAAATTGATCACGAAAACGTAAGCGCTTTCTAGCACTGGAGTTGACTTAACTGTGAGCGTATAGGTGTCATTCAACATTCTAAAATAAATTATGTAAAAAAAGAATTTAATTAACGAACCTTATGCAATGATATAATGTAGGTAATTCAGCAATCAATTCGCTGGAGCTGGCAGAGCTGTTGCATACAGCATGTACTTTTTCTATAGCTTGTACTGTAGCTTTAAGTTCGTCTTTTACTGGTCTTCCTGGCGTCACTCCTTCACATACACTAGCAGCATACGCCAATAGATACATATATTTTGATTTATGTTCAGGATTTAATTTGCTGCCAAGCTTGAATAGCGAGTCCACTAGTAGTTCTATAAAACAGTAAAATGTGTAACGACAGTAACAGTGACAAAATCCAATGTTAATACAATTACATATATAGATAAGGTAGACGTTACCTACCCATGCCATAAGAGCATGGGTTACTAATTATAGATATAGTTCAGCATTTTCAGAACTGCTAACATAATGTTCTAACTAACCAACTCCTCTTCCCTGACTGGCTTCTCTGGCGTGTTACCTACATATTACCTAAAAATTGAGGAATGCGTAGTAGATGAACTGGTGGTGGTTCCGGTTGTGTGTACGCTCGAAACAATACGGAAATATCAGCAGGGTTGAGAGCACCCCGTGATAGCATAGCGGCGAGTGCAGTGCGGGCGTTACGATAGCTCTCGCCGGCAGTCAGCGACAGTGTGATAGGTGTCACGTCGTGTCCACTAAAAAAAAGACACAGTATTATAAGCATCAGCCCACTGCTGGTGGGTCAGCCCACATAGGTCAGTCAGTTTGCTATTTTACATTTTTGTAATTTATATTAACAGTGTCTCTTAAAACCACTGAATAAAAAAAATGTTTATTAATTTTAGCAAAATATATTAATGATCTAAACAATTTTAGGTCATCAGTCTTAAGTATATATATATATATATATATATAAATATCCCCTTGGGCACTTTGTGGCTCAGACGTGCCGTATAGGTAGTTTTTTGTTGATCCTTTTTCACTTGTTGATCCGGAGGCCTTTTGTTGATCTAATGCCAGATGACCATATATAAATGTTGATCCGTTTTGAGCCACAACTGTCACGACGAGTAATAATAATAATTAAGCGATTTATACACGATTTTATACAAATCCACCTTTTTGGCATACGAGCAGTTCTTGATCCAATTCAAACGGGCCAATCAGGGTGCAGCATTTGCCAAGGGCTTCCTCATTGGCACGTTTAGGCTACTACATTATGGCTACAGTAACTTAATAATGTCTAGCTAGTATTTCAAGAATAATAGTCTATCTAATCTAAATATTTATAGAAATCAGTCTGGAGTAACGTGACTCCAGATCAAACCTCAATACTTGTTATTTTTTGGACGGGAATCTTTTCTTTTGTAACAACGTTACTGAGCGAATAAAGAGAAGACGCAATGGCGGATCCAGGGGGGAGCGTCATGGAGGTCATGGGAGTCATGGGGGCGTCATGACTCTCCCCCCCCCCCCTTAGCCCAGAACTTAGGTAGACCACTAATTGAACTAAAAAATAATGAAACAGCAAATTTTTTTTCACGATCGGAGTGTTGGTGCAGTAGTATTAATTATAATTAAACATTGTTACTTAAAACATAACAGTTAAAGTACTATAACACTAAAAGCAAAATAGGTATTTTCAAAATACTTTTTCAAAATAAATTACCCTTTGAGTTTTTGTCCAAACCTCAGATATTTTATTTATTTTAGGTATATCAATCAATACATAGTATAGCATAGTACAGTCTGTCTGTCTGTCTGTTTGTTCCGGCTAATCTCTGAAATAGCTGGACCGATTTTGACGGGACTTTTTTTGGCAAGTAGCTGATGTAATAAGGAGTAACTTACGCTACTGTTATTTTAGAAAAATAAAATAAAATTTCACGCGGACGAAGTCGCTGGGGCCAGCTAGTATAGATATACCGAGATTTAATGTTTAAGTTGCTATTATGTTATTGACAAAATTTTACTGTAATGTTTACTACATGCATATGAATATATATAAGGTACATATACCAAAATAACTATTTTTATAATTTTAGTCTGTCTGTCTGTCGGTCTGTTTGTTCCGGCTAATCTCTGAAATGGCTGGACCGATTTTGACGGTACCATTTTTTGGCAGGTAGCTGATTTATAAGGAGTAACTTAGGTTACTTTTATTTTAGAAAAATAAAGTTAAATTCCACGCGGACGAAGTCGCGGGAACACCTTGTTTTTAATAAAAACATCTTTTTTGTGGTACTTGAGAATGTTGAAGCCTGTTGTTTGTAATATTGAAATAACCGTTTTTTACTACTTGCATATGAATATAAATACGGTACATACACCAAAATAACATATTTTACAATTTTTGTCTGTCTGTCTGTTTGTTCCGGCTAATCTCTGAAATGGCTAGACCGATTTTGACGGGACTTTTTTTGGCAGCCGATATAATAAGAAGTAACTTGATCTACTTTTATTTTAGAAAAATAAAGTTAAAAACCACGTGGACGAAGTCGCGGGAACAGCTAGTGTATAATATATTAGAGATACCTACGTGTTTTTTTATTGATGACTAGCTGTACACGGGATTTCGTCCGTGTTGAATTTAACTTTATTTTTCTAAAATATAAGAAGTTAAATTCCACGCGGACGAAGTCGCGTGTACAGCTAGTTGTCGGTAGTCTAGCGATTTAGCTAGCACACTGCTTTGATTCCTGCTTGGTGGTCGAGGGTTCGATTCCTCGCACGCTGCAAACATTTGTATTCATGAGTAGGATTGTTTGTAACTTATATATATACTAGTTTTTTCACCATAACAAACAACACCAATATGACCTAGTTAGTAGTTTACCTGTGTACCAATTAATAATAATAGTAATCTCAGGACAATTCATACAGCTTCATCTAGACCCAAGTTAAGCTAGCTGAAGATTATGTTATGGGTACTGATATAAATACAAAGATTTTTTTCGTAAATACATATATATTATCTATACATAGAAAACACCCAGACCGTTACAAACAATTTAATAATAAGTTAATAGTTTAATAAGTACGTACGTAATATTATCACATGGTAACAGCACGTATTATGGCAAAAATAAACATCGGCTGATTTGAAAAGATTTATTATAGTAATAATAGTAATCTCAGGACAATTCACACAGCTTCATCTAGACCCAAGTTAAGCTAGCTGAAGATTATGTTATGGGTACTGATATAAATACAAAGATTTTTTTTCGTAAATACATATATATTATCTATACATAGAAAACACCCAGACCGATGAAAACAATCGATGACCGATGAGTACAAATGTTTGCATCGTGCGAGAAATCGAACCCGCGACCATCGGATGTAAAGCGGTGTGACCACCGAGGCAGTCGAAATATATAAATAATCTTATGAATTTAATTTATTCTAATTTGTTTATGTTAGTGTATCCCCCCTGCCTCCACCGTTGCTGGAGCTTGCATGTATGGAGCATTGCGAATATAAAATATCTAGATTAGTAAATTCATAATTGATAGACCGTTACGGTATCTATATATATTCGGATTAAAATAAGTATCGCAGTAAGGACCAGTATATAAAGTGATCAACACAATTAACTGATTTTTGAAATATATATACAGAGCCAAAAAGTCTTTGTGTATTCAAAAAATATCTAATTTGTTTGTGTGCGCGGGGTGCGGTGTACGGTGCAGGGGGGACCCTGCCTCCACCGTTGCTGGAGCTTGCATGTATGGAGCATTGCGAATATAAAATATCTACATTAGTAAATTAATAAATTCATAATTGATAGACCGTTACGGTATCTATATATATTCGGATGAAAGTAAGTATCGCAGTAAGGACGAGTATATAAAGTGATCAACATAATTAATTGATTTTTGGAATATATTCAGAGCCAAAAAGTCTTTGTGTATACCAAAAATTTAGCCGTTCGGAGCCATTCAGTCACGAATTATTAGTAAAAAAAGTGTCGAGTATATCGTACTATCGACGAATATATATGGCCGCATCGCAAAATAGAATGCGACGTTGCCATACCGCCTATATATATATATATATATAAACACCTCTTTGGGCACTTTGTTGATCACGCCACAACCTAAACACTTGCCGATTCCACCTTTTGCACTGAATAACTTCACACCTATCGCGTATATCTCAGGCGGTATGGCAACGTCGCATTCTATTTTGCGATGCGGCCATATATATTCGTCGATAGTACGATATACTCGACACTTTTTTTACTAATAATTCGTGACTGAATGGCTCCGAACGGCTAAATTTTTGGTATACACAAAGACTTTTTGGCTCTGAATATATTCCAAAAATCAATTAATTATGTTGATCACTTTATATACTCGTCCTTACTGCGATACTTACTTTCATCCGAATATATATAGATACCGTAACGGTCTATCAATTATGACTTTATTAATTTACTAATGTAGATATTTTATATTCGCAATGCTCCATACATGCAAGCTCCAGCAACGGTGGAGGCAGGGTCCCCCCTGCACCGTACACCGCACCCCGCGCACACAAACAAATTAGATATTTTTTGAATACACAAAGACTTTTTGGCTCTGTATATATATTTCAAATATCAGTTAATTGTGTTGATCACTTTATATACTGGTCCTTACTGCGATACTTATTTTAATCCGAATATATATAGATACCGTAACGGTCTATCAATTATGAATTTACTAATCTAGATATTTTATATTCGCAATGCTCCATACATGCAAGCTCCAGCAACGGTGGAGGCAAGGGGGAGCACCGTACACCGCACCCCGCGCACACAAACAAATTAGAATAAATTAAATTCATAAGATTATTTATATATTTCGACTGCCTCGGTGGTCACACCGCTTTACATCCGATGGTCGCGGGTTCGATTTCTCGCACGATGCAAACATTTGTACTCATCGGTCATCGATTGTTTTCATCGGTCTGGGTGTTTTATATGTATATTATATATGTATTTACAAAATAAAAATATCTATTTATATCAGTTCAGTATCAGTCTGTGTTAATTGTCCAGGGTTATTTATTATATTTTTATAAACGGTTATCTTTTTCCATCGCACCGCTCGCTATCGACAGTGAATTCATAGAAATGTCACTCTAAAAACAAAAATAGTTTTGTGTTTTGTATTTCAAATACTAAATGCAAAATAGGTATTTTCAAAATACTTTTTAAAAATTAAGTACCTTTTGAATTTTTGTCCAAACCTCAGATATTTTATTTATTTTAGGTATATCAATCATTACATAGTAATATAAAAACAAAGTCGCTGTCGCATCTAACAGTACATAAACAAAGAAAGAAGACTTTGGCTCTGATACCGTAACGGCCTATGAATTATGAATTTATTATACCTAATCTAGATATTTTATATTCGCAATGCTACGTACATTGTAATATCCGCCTCCATTCATTGTAACGGTGGAGGGACTAAATAGTTGAATAAAACTGAATAAGCACTTGCTCCACTCTATAGGTACTGCGTCGTCGTCGTATGCTGTTCATTTTTTCACTCGTTTTGGCGCCAAGAGAGGGTCACATAGTCGTGGTCAAGTTAAGAACTTATAATTTAATTTTGATAACAATAGATACAAGTAAAAAGTAGGTATTATATTAATGTACGTAAGTACTGTACTTAAAAATATTTATTCTTTACTGTATGTACAT